CAGATTGGGGGCTGGAATTTGCTTGACTACAAAAAGTTTCGTAGTCAAGCAAATTTGGAGGTTACTTTTGGGTTATCTACGAATGCCTTTCCAGGAGAGGTTGGGAGCTCGCTGCTTCTGGATGGTTTCGTGGGGGCATCCTGGGGAAAAGGGGAGGTGACAATCTGCTTGACTGCAAAAGGGTTTGAAGTCAAACATTTTCGGGCACGTCCGTCAAGATGCTGGATGAGCGAGGTTGGATGAATTCGGCACCAGATGAATGAGGTTACTGGATGAGTTCGGACACTGGAAGAGTTAGGGCATCGGATGAGGCAGGGCACCAGATGAGTTCGTAAACGGATGAAGTGGCCACCGGATGAGTGAGGGCACTGGGAACTGTGAGGCGCCGGATGAGTGAGAACACAAGGTGAGTTGGGGCATCGGATGAAAAAGGCAACCAGATGAATTAGTGACCAGGTGAAATTGGCACCGGATGAATCAGGCACAGGGCACCAACTGAATTCGTCACCGGGTGAACCAAATAAATTTGGCACCGGATCAATTAGGGCATCTGATGAGTTAGCTACCGGATGAGTTTGACCGGATGATGAGGTAGGTCATAAGTGATTTAGTCAAGCACCGCATGCATGAATTTGAGTTCGACCGGATGAATTAGCCACCTGATGAATGAGACCAGATGAAATAGGCATCGGGTGACGTACACCGGATGAGCTTGACACCGGATGAGTGGGCAAGGATGAGTTGGGCATCGGATGAGTTTGACCAAATGAGTTTGACTGGATGAAATCAGCAAAGGATGAATCAGCCCGGTTTCCAAAAGCGCGCGCGCTGGACGCCGCGTGTTGGAGAGCCCCCACCTGTTGGCGCCTGCATGCGAGAAGAACGCGTGCCTTGCCATCGCTCGGACGTCCATTCCCCGTGCCGTGTTCGGTTTCGCGCGTGTTTTTGTTTTTTAATCAAGATGGTCCAAGATGCTCCAAGATAATCCAGATTTGCTGGCGTTGACCTCGCCGAGGAAAATGCCCACACCCGAACGAGACAAGGAGCGGTGCGAAAAGAGCGCGCGCCAAACGTATGTTGGATACCCCCCAGTGGCGCCTGCACGCGTGAAGGCCGCACAAAGCGCACGCGACTTTCGCATGTTTCATCCCCCCCTGGGGCAGCATTTTTACGTGGGAAGAGTATGCTTGTCGATCAGACGCCCTCCGCTCCATTGTCGTCCAAACTCAGCGGGTCGGGTGTGTGGTGCTCCCCCCTGGACTTTCGGACACCCTTGCAGGACCGGGCCATCGCCGACAGGACCAGGAGGAGGAAGGGGGGGAGGGGCCGTGGGACCCTTCATAGAATTCAGTGTCCCCCGTAATCCTGTGCAGTACATGCAAAGCAGGAAGCGGCGGAACCTATCCCCATCCCACCAACATAGAAGGATGGGATGGGGTAGACATAGGCTGGCCCCTTACGCCGGCCCACAACCAAAAAAAAACATCATAGCTTCTAAGTCAGCCTGCGCAAGTCTACAAGGCTGATCCAGTGACGGATCCAATTCGCTTTCCTCCGTTGGTATCAAACTCATGCGAAGAACATTGCTCCCACCCCTCTGGCTAAGGGCCAAGGGCCCGCTCACCGCAGAGAGAACCCTGTGCGGATCCCCCTTACCAGGGAAAAGTTGTGTCAGTTCCACGTGGGAACAAATCCGCCGACCCCTTGGGGATCATCGGCGTGTGAGATGCTTCCCCCTCCCCAAACCCCTCCCCCGGGAGCCCGGTCCGGTCGATTTGGAGGGGGGGGGGGGGTCCGGCGCGAGCGGGGGGGGTCCGGGACGAGCGACTCACGGGGCTTTTCCGGGCCCAAGAGGGCCTCAAGACGGGCCAAGAAGCCCCCAAGAGGCCTCCAAGACGGCCCACGAAGGCTCCGAGACGCCAAACGACCGCTCCAAGACGCCCACGATGGCCCCAAGACGGGCCAAGAGGTCTCCAAGACGGCCTCCGAGGTCCCAAACAAGCCTCCCAAGAGGGCCCAAAGAGTCTAAAATTGTTGATTTTCCCGAGTGTTTTTCGACGTTTCTTGCTTTCCCGCCTTTCCGGCTTCCCGACGCTCCAAGACGGCCAAAGAGGCCCCAAAGATAGCCCCAAGATGGCCCAAGAGGCCCCCAAGACGGCCTCCAGACGGCCCAAGACGGCCCCAAGACGGCCCAAGAGGTCCCCAAGACGGCCCAAGAGGGCCGATTTGGAGGGGGGGAGGGGGCCGGGACGAGCGCAGCACGGCCGGGACGAGCGGTTCCAGGGCTTTTCCGGGCCCAAGAGGGCCTCAAGACGGGCCAAGAAGCCCCCAAGAGGCCTCCAAGACGGCCCACGAAGGCTCCGAGACGCCAAACGACCGCTCCAAGACGCCCACGATGGCCCCAAGACGGGCCAAGAGGTCTCCAAGACGGCCCCCGAGGTCCCAAACAAGCCTCCCAAGAGGGCCCAAAGAGTCTAAAATTGCTGATTTTCCAAATGTTTTTCTACGTTTTTTGCTTCTCCGCCTTTCCGGCTGTCCGACGCTCCAAGACGGGCAAAAAGGCTCCAAAGATAGCCCCAAAATGGCCCAAGAGGCCCCCAAGACGGCCTCCAGACGGCCCAAGACGGCCCCAAGACGGCCCAAGAGGTCCCCAAGACGGCCCAAGAGGGCCGACTTGGAGGGGGGGAGGGAGCCGGGACGAGCGCAGCACGGCCGGGACGAGCGGTTCCAGAGCTTTTCCGGGTCGAAGAGGGCCTCAAGACGGGCCAAGAAGCACCCAAGAGGCCTCCAAGACGGCCCACGAAGGCTTCGAGACGCCAAACGACCCCTCCAAGACGCCCAAGATGGCCCCAAGACGGGCCAAGAGGTCTCCAAGACGGCCCCCGAGGTCCCAAACAAGCCTCCCAAGAGCGCCCCAAGAGCGCCCCAAGAGTCGAGCCGCGCACGCAGGCGGCCAATCCCAGAGAGGAATGAGAAGCTCAATGTCATTTCCTATTCCTCCGCCTCCTCCTCGTCCCCCCTTCTCCTCCCCTTCCTCCTCTTCCTCCTTCTCCTGCTCCGTCTCCTTCGCCCCGCTCTTACGCTCGCAGCGTCACTCGTCCTCCTCCTCCTCCTCATCCTCCTCCTCCCACTCCTCCGAATACCCCAGCATGCCCAATAACGGATCAGCCCCAGTTTCGAAATCCACAACTTACGTCCAGCATCCGCCGACCCCGCAGAAATCGAGGTGCCGTGGCGCTTCCATCTAGTGAACATGCCTCCAATTTGGCACACCCCGCACGCGGCAACTTGAATGAAAGGCCCCAAAACCCGAGTATACGCGCGGCTCCCCGCGAACATTGGGCACGTCCCTCATAGATTTCGTGGCTCCACGGCGCGCTCCAACCATAGCCCCAGTACCCGCGGTCCCGTAAACTTCCAACCCCAAGCGCACACACACGTCGATCGTGTCGTGGCTCCAGAATACGTCCACCGTGGGGCCCAGTGGGAAGATTCGCATGCAAGTATACCCCATGCCGGCACACCCTTTGCACGCGCCGTGGCCTCGCACATGGCCAAGTTGACCCATAATGACTCCTGGACAGTCCCCCAAAAAAACTCCCGACCGCTACCGAAACGGCTCGAAGACATTCCCGAGCCCAACCTGGCTCCATTATGCCTCTCAGATGGCCCCAGATGAGACCACGACCGCCCGCGGTGTCGCCGTCCGCTCGGACACCCCCGCGGAACTGCCCGAGACCCTCTGGCAGTGGCGGCGAACAGACACCAAACAAATATCACTCGCCTTTTCACCCCTTCGCAGCTTCTACTGCCCCCCGATTGGCATAAACAAGGGGTCGGCGGTGTGGCGTAAGCCTAAGAATCACACGTCTGGACACGTGAGATAATCATGCTAGGTGCACCTCCCTCTGGCCTGCAGATCGCATCTCGAAGCACGTGCCAGACGCATGTTGGATACCCCTTTTCAGCGCCTGCGCACGTGACGAAAACATGTAATCTACACGCCCACGCGCATGTTGGAGACCAACATTGGCTCATCCACTTCTGGAAACAAGTGTCAGAAGTGCCCGCGCCAGACGCATGTTTCACCACGCTCCTCGTGCACGCTCCGTGCTTGACACTCCCCTGGTCTAGGGCCGACGGCCCGCCCACTCAAAGAGAACTCTGGACGACAGCCCTTGGAGGATAGATAATGTACCAGGTCAAACTGAAAGCGAAAACATCTCTCAATGGCCCGCCCACACACACACAGATACAGGGTCAAATACGGTGCGGTGACGGGCCGTGTGCTGATCTCGAAATCCCCGCAGACCTCACCGAACGGTCTGTCACCCCACGGCTTAGGACAGGGCAAGACCCGGTCGCCCGAGACATCCTCGCAGCGCGACCCCAGTCCCCAAACTTTGCGGTCACCCCGAATCCCCACCGACTCACCACACAATGTGGTCATCGCACCGTTTGGGGCACCCCGAGAAGAATTCTGTGCAAAATCCCTTTTCCGGGAAACAAAACTGCTTGACCCTCGATCTCTCTCTCCTACCTCCTGCCCCCCGAGGCCGCCGGAAACTCATAAAAAAGCAGAGCCGTCAGAATACCGTGATGCTAGATCTGTTTACGCTGCCCTGACTGTAGCCTTAGATGTCTGGCGTCTGAGTGCGAGTGCCTTCAAACAACCAACGCAGAGTGCTCTCGCAGAACAGCAAAACAACACAGCAAGCAAGAACAATCGAACATCTGCGATGGGCCAGGCGGCACATGAGACGCACTGAGACTCGGAAGGAACAGTGTTACCCGCAGGGCCGGAGTATCGGCCCCATGCAGGGCGCCTTACCTTCGCAATCGCTTCTCCTCCTCCTCCTCCTCCTCCTCCTCCTCCTCCTCCTCCTCCTCCTCTTCCTCCGCCTCTTCCTCCTCCTCCAGTGCTGATTTACGATCTCCTGCTCCTCCTCCCCACGAGGATGAGTGGCCGTCGTCTCGCAGCCGCAATCGTCGCCGCCGGCCTCGGCCATGGCCTCCTCATCGCCGTGCTCCTCCGCCAGCGAGGGCCCGAAGTGCTCGTACTGCTCCGGGATCTCAGCCCTCCAGTCGCCGTCGAGCTCGCCCCACCTCGGGGGAGTGCGGGCGTTCCTCCTACTCCTCCTGGGCCTCGCACGCCTCGCTAGCGTAGCCTCTGCAACACTACGCACGTGAGAACAATTAAAGGCCTGCGTTCAGCAGTCAACGACCGCTCAGCAAGCCTGTGGAAAGGGCAACGTCCTGCCACATGTAAGCCTCTGGATCTGGGGTAAGGCCCCCCAGCTGGTGTTGTCTAACCTGCGTGCACACTGCGCAAGTGGCAACATTACCTCCCGCTTATCATGTTTGTCCTCCCCGTCCTCGCTGCGCAAGACAGAGGCACAATTTTGACTCTGGGGAGGGACAGTCAGCAACAGCAACTGGGTGCAAAACCATACGCCTGGTCCAAGTGGGAGATTCTTCCGCAGGGCCCCGAACTTCCGTCCTCCTCCTCCTCCTACTCCTCCTCTCGTACCCTCCCCCTAATACTTCGTCCTCTTCCTCCTCCTCATTCCCTCCTCCTCCTCCTCCTCCTCATCATCATCCCAACCACCGCCCCCCGAAAGCGAGAATTTCATATGGAGAGCAAGAGGGATGAGAAGGAAGGGGAGGCATGAGGAGGGGGAGGTGATGTCGGTGACTATCGGTGGCTCTGGGGGCTTCAAGGGCGAGGGGAGAGGAGGGGAAGCAGTGGAATGAGGAAGGGGGGAGGAGGATGGAAGATGTGAAGGAGGCAAGGATTGGGGAAGCGGGGCTTTGAGGTGCGTCTAACGAGTTCTCTGGGGCTTGCGTGCGTTCGGTGACTGCTAACTGCTCCTGAAGAGCCCCAAGCGAATACGGACGATACCCACAACAAATGTTATCCCAAATCGACAACGGCCGCTGCTGGGCAGGCCGTCTTCTGCCTCGAGTCGACAGCGCTCGCGGCGACGTCGGCGAGTCCTGTCCAAAATGGGGAAGAACTGCTGGCGGTTTCCGTCCTAATTCCTTCCGTGCCCATCTCTACCGTACCGAACGGTGCCCCCATGGCGTTCCTCTGTTGGGGGGCAGCCGACACCTGTTCTCTGCGTGAGAGGTCGCGATCATCGCGATGTAGTCCTCGTCGCAGACGGTCCTCTTCTGCAGCCCGCGGGGGGTGCGCCAGACGAGGTCGGCGAGGTCGCGGATGGTCTGCGTCCTGTTGACGTCCTCATCCTCCAGCTCGATCTTGAAGCGCTCCTCCACCTGCGGCCCGATGATCGATCCACGCGGCGTCAGGAAGGCAAAAAGGTACAAGGTTGAACGACTCAAGCAATGTCTGAAACCATCGCCGAAGTCGTCACGACACGAACCTACTGTAGCAGATGAGGGAAAAGGCGGATGGATGAAGGAACAAGGATGACGAGCACGGTGATGACGATTGGGATGAGGTGATAATGCGGGAGGACGGGTATCACGCAAAGAAGGGGCATCAACACCAGACCCCGAAACGGACGGCAATCGTGGGTGAGCTCACATGGTCGCGGCTCATCATCCCCCGCCTCCTCCCCCTCCTTGCCATCATAGACCACAAGAGGTGCGTCAACCGAGTGCTTCACCATGGGAGCCAAGGTCAGACATTTCCTGCTGTTGTTCCCTCCCGCCGCGTCGCTCGACAACGGCTTCCCTAGAATCTGGCTGCGGAACAAAAAGACATTAAAATACGAAACGAACACCAATTTTGGCCCAAAAAGCGCCTGCGTGGACGAGGAGCGCCAGAGAGACAGCCAAAAAAGGACCTAAGGAACCTCGAGCCCCTTTCAAATCCAAACTGTTCATTATATCAGCGTCTCGGCTGTACGCACGCATCGGGAAGAAATCCGATCGAATCCTAGTTCCGTGTCCGACCTGGCAAAAGCGCGCTTGGCATGTGCAGCCATGCCGATGCGCGGCGCCACAGGCTGCCGCATGGCTTCTCCCGCGGAGAGTCCAGAGCCACTCTCTCGATACTCCCCCGCTGCTGACACTTCTGAAGCTCCTCCTCCTCCTCCTCCTCCTCCTCTCCCAGAAACTCTGTTGCGTGTTCGACCATGGACCCCTTGCTGCCCATCGCTCATGGGCCGACTTCGGCGGCCTTCGGACGGCTTTCCGGCGGACTCCGGCGGTTCTCCGACGGCCTTCGGCGGTCTTCCTCGGATTCCGGGTGGCTTTTTTTGGCGCGAAGGCTTGGTGCTTGTACTTTCAAGGACCGACGGGCACGACTTCGACGAGGGTCGGCACTGTTATCTGCAACTTCCCTCCTGGGCCCCTCTTGGCTTCTGCTAGGTGGTTAGGGGCCCAGGACGCGGCCAGGACGAGAATAACTCAATTCAAAACTGTCCAGAACGCTGTCAGAGCGTGCCGGAACGCTCTGAGAAGGCCGCGGCACCCGAGATATCCTCCATACCCGCCAGATCTCAGAGAGTCTCGATTTATCCTCACCCGATGTTCTCCGCGTCCTGGCTTCGTCTCAAGGCCTCCTGTGGCACTCCTGGGCGCTCTCGGGCCTCTCTTTGGGCCTCCCGGGAGCCAGCCGAGCGCCCCCGGAGGTCCATGGGGCGCGGGATGCATAAGGGTCGTGCTGATGTATGGCTCTCGAGGGCCAGCGTGGCGGGCCAGCGGAGCTGCACACAGCACCCCGCAGAAAGCATAACACTCCGTAGGAGACTTCATGGGCATATCCCTCCACTTATCATGCTGTGCCCAAGCTGCCAAATCGTAGAAAAAATCGTTCCGGCCCGATCCTTGCAGCAAGCAGCTCACGATGACATCGAAATCCCATTGGAACGAAGTGCGATCTGGACCACCATAGTGCAATTCATTGTCGATGGTCATCACCACCAGGCGATGATCAATGCGACTGAGACGAATCGCCAAATGCAATGAATCTCCCCTCTGCAAGTCGATTCGGTACTTGCGAATACGACAAGATGACAATCGCTGATGTGATCGCACGCGTGCCCCAGAACAATGCCCCAGTAAGGAGGCCCCGTATCGAAATTACTAGACAAAGCAACCAATAATAAACTATAAGGAAAAATCGTGCGAGAGCATCGGTTGTTGGGAAAGCTCAGGCGGAGGCCGCTGTTGTTGCAGTCGGGGGGCAGGTGGGCAGTCTGAACTTGAAGCTTCCCCCTGACGAAAGTGAGAATACATGTGAGAGCCGAAAGGCGCGCTTCAACCGAACCGAGTTCACGGTAATGGGCAAGGTGGGGGTCAACAACAAGTATTCCTCAGAAGTGAGAATTCGACATTCGTGACAATGACAACGGTGCAGCGACAGACCGTCCGGTGACCTCAGAAGCCCAACACACCTCGCCGCACGATCCGTCACCGCACGGTCTGGGCACCTTCGAGGCCGCAGCCGCCCGAGACGTCCTCGGAGAGCAACCCGAGTCCAAAAAACTGCGTGGCCACCCCGCACCCCCACTGGCTCACCGCACGGTGTGGTCACCGCACCGCCTGGAGGCCCCCGAGCAAGGAAGACCTCACGGGCCTACCCCGCCGGCCCCCACGACGTGCGCTCGCCGTCCCCGAGGCGAGCGCACCCACTCAGGCCCGGTGATGCTATGCTGTTGTTGGCCCGGGGGGGTTTTGGGGGGGTAAGGGGGTTTCTCCCCCCCGGACCCCTCCCAACAACCTCCCTCAGGGTGGTTTCTTGGGGTTAGACAAAGGTTTCCCTTGCAGGACCCACCAACAAAAACCGTCAAAGTTTCTTTTCGGGAGGGGGGGGGCGAGCAACGCGCAACGCCCTTGTGGCAAGGACTTCTGTGTACACGCGGGGATTTTTCCGAAGAGATACATCCTGGGGGACGTCAAGGTATCCGTGTCGAGGAAGAGCGTATGCACGCCATGCGCGCTGGCACAACGAGTTTCGCCTCCTGGTGTTGCTGCTGCTGGTTTTTTCCAGATACGACTACAGCTCCTACTAAGGCTCCGACTGGAGCTCCTGCGCGGGCTCCTACTACAACTGCTACTACGGCTCCCAATCGAGCTCCTACTAGGAAACACTGGCAAGGCTCCGAATACAGGTTCTTACTAGGGCAACCACAGTTCCTACGAAGCTTCCGACTAAGAACCCTACGACGGTTTCTCCTACATCTCCTAACTCCTGCTAGGTTTTTTTTTGCACTGCAGCTCCTACTTGAGTTTCTTCAGGCGCGCCTGCCACAGCTCCAACCAAATTTTCGACTACAGCTCCCACTCGAACGCCGACTAAGATTCCGACGATATCTCCTGTTAGCCAGCTCCTACTAGGGCTCCCAGGGTTCCGACTACCGAGTACAGCTTCGAGTTCAGCTCCTACTCGGACGCCTATTGCAGCTCCGAGTAGGGCTCCAACTACACCTTCCAATGGAGCGCCAGGTTCGGGCTCTTACTGCACCTCCCACCGAAACGCCCATTGTAGATCCTACGCCAGCTGATGCCTGAACACTGACTACACCTCCTACCGCTGCATATACGATGGCTCCGACTATAGTTCCTACTACAACCACTATGCAATTTCCTACTGCAGCTTACATTTGAACTGTAGCTTCGCAGGTCCTACTCCATACCCTACGTCAGTTCCTACAAAAACTTCTGATCTATCTCCTGCGAAAACAACTACTCGATCTCACACTCGGGCTCTCCCTACAACTTCAACTGGAACTCCTGCTAGAGTTCCGTTTGCAAATTATCATAAGGATGATCCGGCAATGCCGACCATAACCCCTACCAGGTTTTCTACTCTCACTGGAACTCCCGCGCTGGTTCCCGCCACGTTTCCTACTCGCGTTCCTACTGCGGTTCCCACGGGGCCTCACACAGCTCGTACTTGAACGCATGTTAATGAAAAGTCGGAATTCGAAGGTCCGGCTAGATATCCTTCGACGGTCCATGCCACAGTTCTTTTTCCGGTTTCTAGGACGGCTCCACCTAGAACTCCCACCACGATTACAACTACATGTCCTAGTTTTGTTCGTACCCACTTTCCGAATGCAATTTATACGAAAGCTCCGGCGTCAGCTCCTACTACTGCATGTCCGACCACATTTGAGTTCCAACTGGGTTCCTACTACAACTCATGCTAGGGATTCAACTGCAGCTTTTCCTGACTAAGGCATTTAAGATAGCCTCTACTAGGGCTTCGAGTACAGCTCGTACTACGGTCCGTACTGAAGCTCCTACTGCAACTCCGAACTGAGATCGCACGAGGGTTCCTATTACAGTCCAATGAACCCCCCTCTATGAGCCTGCAAGAGCTCACTTGGTCACCCATGTAACAACGCACGCAAGCACGCACACACATTTCTGCGTCGGCGGCGAGGCAAAGGAAGTCTGCGCTGGCGGAAAAGGCCTAAACGGGAGTGCCATAATGGCGAATTGTGCTACCATGCAAGAGGAGGAGGAGGAGGAGGAGGAGGAGGAGGAGGAGGAGGAGGAGGAGGGCGCAGCCGAAAGAGGGGTCGGAAAAAGCGAGCCGCTCAGGGGGACGGGTCACGCCCCGAGCGCGTGGCGCGGCTGGCCCCGCTCGCGGGCCCGCGGCGGCTGCTGCGTCGGCGGGCCCGGCGGCGGCGGGGCCCAGTGCGGGGCCCGCACACACACACACACACACACACACACACACACACACACACACCTTCACACACACACACACACTGCTGGGATTGCGGGGTTTCCCGCGGGCTGGTCAAATAGGCCTTACCCCCTTACGTCTGCGCGATTTGTTCCGAAGGTCTGAGCTGGTGCCTTATGTATTACTTTTGTGATGTCGGTGATCCTCGGAATCCCCTCTCTCAGTCCTCAGTCGACCGCCGCTCCGACGAAGAGGGGGAGAGTCAGGCGGGTGACGCGGAGGACCAGGGAGCAGGAGGACGCGGGGGAACCCACACGACGGCCCCAGGATAGCCCCAAGGCAGCCTCAGATGATGATCAGACCTCGCAACACCCACGTGCCAAGTCCCCCCCCATCTCGTCCGACCATCTCCTCTTCCGACCCTCCCCTGGGCCTCCAGCGTCCTGGCCACGTCAGCGCGTGGTGTGGGACCCCCAAACCCGCGACCACCAACTTCAGCGTGGCTGCCTCGCGCCGTGGGCCGATTTCTTGTCGTGGGCCGCCCTGCCCAGATCGCCATGAGGGCAAAGAGGTCCTGAGGGAGACGAGTCATGAGAGCTGTCCGCCGGTTTCGGGCTCCTGAGCCTCTCCCCATGCACCAGCACCGCTAGAAGGCAACTCAGGATGAACAAGTGGTCCTGCGGAACGCCCAGGGTTCTAGGATCCGTTTCCCTCACGACCCCTGCCCCCCATGGCGACAAGACAACCCGGCCGCGCTTAACTTAGTCAGGCCGCCGCACGTCTCGATCCTCCTCCCGCGCCCTCCCTAGCAGAGGCCTTCCAGATGGGGTCCACAAAGATGGGGCCGAAACATCGTGCCGCATCGAAAATGCATCAGGGATGCACCAACGCAGTGGCGAGACATCGGCACCGTCGACATGGCGAAACACCGGCTCCACATCGAGCCGCATCGCCGATTCATCGGCGATGTGGTGCGACCCTCCGACCCCACCCACTCGGAACCCCTCTGGGAGTCCCGGATCTGGACAACGGCCTCCATCATGGCCTCGATGGTGTCAAGGGAGTCCGCCTCGGAGATCAGCCGCGAGAGGAGCGTCTCTTGAAGCCGCTCCTTCTGTGCTGTCGCCGCTGCGTGCTGCTCTCTTTGGCAGGGGGCAGCAAAGGCAACCTGCCCACCCCACCCATCCTCCGTCTCCTCTTCCCTCGTTCTCCTCCTCCTCCTCCTCCTCCTCCTCCTCCTCCTCCTCCCGTATCTGGAGGAGACGACGACGTGGGTCAAGGCGCGTGCGTTAGCTGCGAGTCGCGCTTCTGCATGACAATGACGCGCTCTGTCGCCAAATCGGGATGCGCTGGCTTCATGATTCGAGGGGCACCCTCGGCGGCGAGCCCAGAGTAACGTGAGAAGGGGCGGGCCTTATCAGAAGGCTCAGAAGTCCCCCAGCCTTCTGAGAAATTTCCTGAGCCTCCCCCGAAAACACCGAAAACTTCTCGGAAGGCGCGAAGGCTTCTGAGAAATCTCGCCGCCTTCTGAGAAGGCCTTCTCCCTCTTACTGCCCCCCCCTCGCTCGCTGCCGATACTTCCCCCGATACGTGGATCTGGCGCCCACGCGCAAGATCCACGGATCCCCAATCCGTGCTGGCGTGCGCTCCAAGATCGCCCCCAGGATCGCCCGAGGTCCGCAGGCCCCCTCCCCCCGAGGCTCCCGAGAAGAAGACACCACCTGACACCACTCGGGCGGAAGTCAGCCAGGAGGCCAATATTAGGAGGCAACTACTGGGAGGTCTTCGTCGGAAAGAGTAAGGAGGACTAAGCCCCATTGGGGGGCTGTTACGCCCGATTAGGCCGCGGATTAAGCAAGATAGAGCGGGATTGCACCACATTAAAAAAGACTAAACGGGAATAAGCTGGATCGAGCCGGATTTCGGGCCAGGGCAAAGCCACAAATTGACCCCCCTGGAGTTGCATCAGCACCAATAAGCGCGAAGGCGATCGGGGTGCAAGAAAGTGGCCCTCAAGGATCACCAGGAAAAAAGGCCGCCAGACGGTCACCCCAGCTCTAAAAGACGCGGGAAAAGGTACACCCTTTCTTCATCCCACGCTTGCTTCCACCGCGCGAAGTACCCTCTGGTTGAGCCACTCGTGCAATCTGCATCCCGTGGAGTCGCTCAGCTGTCTTACTGGCGGTGCTCTGCTCTAATTCCCGTCCCGCGCGCCTCCAGGAGGCCCGATGCATCGCCGAATCATCGGCGATATGACGCGCTCCTCCGACCCCACCTACTCGGAACCCCCGCGTAGGCCTGGGAAAAAACTGACCTGGCGGCAACAACGGGGTAAACAAAGCCCCGCCGCCCTCTGAGAAGGCCTGCCCCCTCTGACGTCCCCCATCGGCGCGCCGCCAAACGACGCCTTAATGTCAGGCTTCCCCTGGAGGGGAAGAATACGGGGACCATGACAGAGACTGATCGCGGAACGTCGCGTCGATCTTGGTCACCGTTGATCACGGTCAGCGTCAATTCGTGCATCCTCGCCAATCGGCGACGGCCGACATGGACCTTGACCAAGACTGGCACCGACAAGATCCCGCGACATCTTGGTCACGGTCCCCGCTCCTCCCTCGATCCTCTCCCCCGCAGCCACACAACCCGCTCAACACACCAGCACATTTCGGTGACCTCCCCCCCCCCCAAGCACCGTCTCACCTGCCCGCCTTCCACGGGCCAGGTCCGGCCGTGGCGACGGATGGGGCCCTCGAACGCCAAAAATGACTCGGAGAGCCACAGCCCTTTCAGATTTAACGACCCACGCGATGTCGCAAACCAGCGCTCGGGTCGTCACAACACGATCTGGACCTGCCGCATGAACCTGCGGTGCGATCGCGGCTGGGGGAATAGAGCTGCTCCCCTCGTGTCATGCAGACCTGTCCGTTCTTCTCCAGCACGGCGCGCCCCTGGCACCGAAACGAGAAGCAAGACTCGGACATGCGATGCCTTGTTTCTCTCAAGACTCGCTCCCCGAAAGATCCGACATGTTCCCCAAGACTGGGTTTTCATCCAGGGTCGTTTTTTGAGGGTCCCGCGGCCCCGCGCCGCCTCCCAAGGGCCAAAAACGGTAAACACCTTCGTCGTGTTTGTTTTCACGACGCGAGCGAGCATGTCTGGGGAGAAGGGCCCGCAAAGAAAGAGAAAAGCCGCCTGGGGTCACCTCCTCCGTGTAGGAGGGGCACTCCCGCCTCGTGCGCGGGGTGGGCCGGGCCAGCCGCCTAAATGGCCACGCCAGGAAGCAACCGATCAGACCGTCCAGAGGCCAACACTTGCGGCGCATAAGGGTGAAGGAGAACGTCAGGGGGGGGTAGGTGCCATGGTACCGGCCATGATGATCACGCACCTTGTCATGATCGTGGCGGGCGGGCGGGCGTGTGTGTATGTGTTTATGTGTGTGTGTGTGTGCGTCTGTGTGTGTGTGTGTGTGTGCGTCTGTGTGTGTGCACGCGCGGAAAGCGCGGCAAACTGGTGGCCGCTCGGAACAATACTTACGTTCAACGGCTGGCGCGTATGTGTGTGTCTGAGTTTGTGAGTCTGTGTGTATGTCTGTGTGTCTATGTGTTCTTCTCCCTCCTGAGCTTTTGAAGAGGTTTCCTCCCCCGCTCCGCCCTGTCTCTGGCCCACCGCCGGACCGCCCCTCGCCAAACGAACGAGACTGGGCCGCCCCCGCCTGTGCTGCACCCACAGCCCGTGCGGCTGGCAGGGGTTCCACCCCTGCCCGCAGCGCCCGCTGCCCACTTGGGGGTCGCCGCTGTCGCGGTTGACCTCCCGCTTTGCCGCTCCGGCTGCCGCCGCCGCTGCCCCTCCTCACTCTTGGTCGGTCCGCCAAGCGGCTCGGCTTCCACCGCCGCCCCAGGCCGCGTTGCCGTGCACCGGCCAAGGACAGCCCGCCCCCCTCCCGCGCACCGCGCCCCCAAAGCGCGCGCCTGCGCTACAACCCCTGCGCCACCAATGGTGTTGCCCCAGCTGGAGTCGCTGTTCGCCTAGGGGGCCTCCGCCACTGCGGTCCGCCCTTGCCCTGCCCACGCAGTCCGGTCAGCCAGCTGGGCTGTTTCCCCTCGCTCACACAGCTTGCCCGTGCGCCACTTCCACTGGGCGACGCGCACTCCTGCCGTGATGCTGTGCACCGGCTAGTGGCTAGTGAGTGGCGCTCTTCTCTCTCCGCCTCTGTTCCACGTCGCCCCGCATCCGGAGTGCGCTGGCTGCCCCCCCGCGCAGCCGCTACAGTGCTGGCCGACAGAGTCGGTGGCCCAACGCCGCTGCCCTTCCTCTCCGCCAGCTGCCTGGTCCCCAGCCGCCGCGGCCTCCACGTCCGCACTGTGGCTGCCGGCCCCCGCTCTGGGTGCGCTGCGACGCCACCCCGCAGCAGCTGCCAGTTTGGACCTCAGCCAGGCCGCACCCCGACCTCCAGCGCAGCCCCGCTGCGTGAGCGGGCCTCGCGCTCTTTCCTGCCCCTCCCCTGCGGCCGCCCGCCCCCTTTTCCTCCCATTCTTGCACGCGGGCTGATTCGTGACCTCGCGCCACGGCGTCACGGCGTCACTCGGACGCGCGTGCGGACTACCCCTGCCGCGCTGCGACGGAATAACAAGTTTCTGAGGGGGCAACGTTAGGGGGGACCAGCTCAGGGTTAGAAACGTTGACCTGCCATCGGCGATACATCACCGCTTTGTCGGTGAGTGGACCTCGATAGCAGATCCGCACGGTCCTGGGCGGGGGTGGCTGTCAGGCCCCTTTTGGCGATCAATTGTCGATAGGGGTCGACGCATCTGCCCCTGAGCCTATCCCCTAACGTTGTCCTTGAAGGAGGGCGGCGTCCTGGCAGGGATTATCGGAATCCTCTGGGGAGGTGTCGGCCTCTTTTGCAGACTGAGACGCGCCCTGCCTTCTGAGAGTGCCGCCAATTCGCTCTGGGCCCTTGGGCTCTGGTGCGCAACCAACAAAAACTAAACCATCTGATAACACACACACACACACACATTGTAACTGATAATTTGCCTTCGGATGGCCTGCGTTGTTGTCAGGGACCCCCGTGGACCTTTGGGCGGCTGTCCAACGACAGCCCTTGATCGCGAATCGGCCGACCCGTTTGTGTAATCGAACCGATCGAGGCGAGGTGTAATGCGTCGACGAACCGAACGAGTAGTGGGCGTTGCTATGAACCAAAAGGACCCTGAGGGAAAGGAGTCCTGAATATACGCTCTGGGGGTCCGCGGAATTCCCAACTCATTCTTGTTAGGGCCTCAAAAACCGATAGAGCGCGTTTCACGGGCGCTTGCCTTGGGAACAATCGGCGGCGCGTTTCGAACCGGGGGGTGGGCCCCCCCCCAGCGCTCGGCGCCGTCGATCAGAACCAGGGGGACTTCCCTCCCCCCTGCCCCCCCCGAACCCCCTCCCCCTCCCAAGAGGCGGGGCGGGGGTCCAAACCCGCTCCCCCCCCCCGGCGCCAGCGCCGGCGCCACAGTTGGCAGCCGCCAGCGCGGCGACGGCGGGGACGCAGCAACGATGACCAGAGGGGGCCCACGGGAGGGGAGGCGGGGGCTCCAAACTCCCCCCCTCCGCGCCGGCGCCGGCGCTGGAAGCGGCGGGCGGCCAACAGCGCCGACGGCGGGGACGCAGCGACGATGACCAGAGAGGGCCCAGAGGCCGCAGAGGGAGCACACACACAAACGAATCGCCATATCGAGCCCTCACCCCCCGGAAGCCACCGAGAGGCCCTTAAGGTCCACGAGGCTTCACACATGATCCTCAGACGCCCCCGAGACCCTTGTGACGAGACCTCAAGAGGCATCAATGAGAACTCTGACCCAAAGCCAAAACACGATGGCGTGAAGAGCCGAAGGCCACACCACCACCACCATCACCACTGCACAAACCACCACACCACCACCACAACCACCACCACCGCCACCACCACCGCCACCACCACCACCACAACAAACCACAACCCAACGCCACCACAACCACCACCACCATCACCACAAACCACTACACCACCACCAACACCAAAAACGCCACAAACCACCAGCACCACCACAACCCACCACAACCCACCACAACCGCCACCACCACAAACCGCCACACCATTACCACCACCGTCACCACCACCGCCACCACCACAACCATCACCACAACCCACCACCACCATTTCCACCACAAACCACCACACCACCACCACCACAACCACCACCAATACCACCACCACCACCCACCACCCACCACCCACCACAACCCTCAGCACCGCTGCTAGCAGCACTACCACCACCACCACCAACACCACAGCCCACCACCACCACCACCACAAACCACCACTCCAGCATCACCACCACCACCATCAGCACTACCACCACCACCAGCTCAACCCACCACCAGCACCACCAAACCACCACACAACCACCACCACAGCCACCAACACCACACACCACCACAACAACTCACCACCACCACCACCGCCACTACCCACCACCACTACCACCACCACAATCTACCACACCACCACCACCATCGCCACAACCACCACCACTACCAGCAGCACAACCCACCACTTCCACCACCACCGCAAACCACCACACCACCACCACCGCCACCACCAGCACCACCAGCATCACCTCCACAAACCACCGCCACCACCACCACCGCAACCACAACCAACACAAACCACCACACCACAACCACCACCGCAACCACCACCACCACAACCCACCACCACCACCAAAAAACCACCACCACACCACCACCACACCACCACTTAACCACTACCACCCACTACCACAACCACCACCACCGCCACAACAAACCACACCACACCACCACCACCACAACCACCACAACCGCAACCACCACAACACACCATCACCGCAACCGCCACAAACCACCACACCACCACCACCACCACCCACCACCACAACCACCACCGCCACAACAAACTACCACCACCACAAGCATCACCACCGCCACCACCACCACCGCAACCACTACTATCACCACAACCACCACGACGAAGCCCACGTCACCACCGCCACCACCACCACCACCATAACCACCACATCAACTCACCACCACCACCACCCACCACCACCACCACAACAAACCACCACCACCACCACAAGCATCACCACCGCCGCCACCACCAACACAACCCACCACCACAACCACTACCACCACCACAACACACCACGACAAACCCCACGCCACCACCACCACCACAACAACTACCACCACCACCATCACCACCACAAACCACCGCCGCCACAACCACCACCACCACTACCACCACCACGGCCCACCACCACCACCACCACCACCTCAGAGAGGCCCCATCAGATGCCCCCCCAGAGGTGCCCAGGAGGCTTCACAAATGCTCTTCAGAGGCCCCCGATGAACCCTCCGACGGGACACCAAGAGGCATCCATTAGGACTCTGACCCGAAACCAAGGCACGGGGGCGGAGCGTCATGTCGTCGTCGTCGTCGTCGGCATCGTCGTCGCCGTCGTCCTCGTCGACGCTCCCCGCCGCCGCCGCAAGCGCCGGCCCCGGCCCTGGAAAGGAAGTCGTCGTCCCCGCCGCCGCCGCCAGCCGCCGCCGACGCAGGCGCCGGCCCGAGGAGAGGGAGAGAGGAAAACAGGAGAGGACGAGGGGGGGGGTTCGAACCCCTCCCCTCCATCCACGGGGGGGGGTCCGGCGATTCCAAACCGTTCCAACCGCCCCCCCGTGCAAGCGACCACAGAACGCGCTCTTTCCAAGAACCAGGAATAGCACACGTCGAGCCGAAAATGGAGAACCCCCCCCGGATCCCTTTCCCTCAAGATTCCTTCTGGCGCATGGCGACAGATCGTGGACAACCACTGGGCCCGCACACGGCACCACCACCACCATTCCTGGCCGGGGCCCTGGCATGATGTATGCGAATTCCTGGCTGCGGCCAGGAACGTCTGCGGCAGGTTCGCTGGTTTCTGACAGCGCGCGGATATTTCAGCCTGGAACGATCGCGGCATTCCGACAGCGCGGATCGCTCGATGCCGTCCGATCCTGGACCATTGGCAGCGTTGAACTTTGAACGCCCGCGATGGGGCCACCGCTGCGTCGACACGGTGCGAGCTCACTATGCACACCATCCTTGGGCCCAAGCTGGCCCTGGCCAGGCACGGTGATTCGAGCAATGAACATTCGAGCGTTCGAACAAGATGAACACGTGTTCTCAGAGAAGAAAACCGATGTCTTGAACGAAGGCCGTCTCAGCCAGACATGCTCCAAGCATCCGGGCATACAAACCACACGAGGAGCAATTAAACACGTTGTGGGTAGACCACGCGGACGTCTTGGATCGGCGCTGACACACCCTCCTGTATCGCGCAGCACGGTTCTCTGTGAATTTCTCGGTTGGCCCGTGGTGGAGGCCTCTCAAATTGATTTCGGGTAGGTGGGGTTGGAAGCTCGCGCCGCGACGCCGATGTATTAGCGATATAGCCGGCGTACCAGCGACGTCGGGACAAAAGAAATCCGCCGACCTTGTCGGCGTGTGGGGTGTCTGTCCGGTCCTGTGGACGGGGAGCCTTCTTTCGTCCCCTCCTTCCCATCCTCCTCCGTCGGGGGAGAGAGAGAGAGAGAGAGAGAGAGAACAAAAAAAAAAAAGAGAAGGAACAACAACAAAAGAAACACTTCCTCGTTCCAGGAACGGGTTCGCAGCTTGAGGGAATTCCATCCATGTCCTCATTACGCCAAAGGGAGACCTCATTCCCTTTGTCCCTTCCCCGGCGGGGGGGGGGGTCCAGAGGGGGGGGCGGGGGGGTGGAGGGGGGTCAGGTTCGCATCGCCTCTGGGGGTCCTCCTCTCCCACGCCGGTCCTTCTCCGGGGCGCCGGTCCTCCTCGGGTACTCCTCCGCAGTGGGGAAGAGTCCCAAGGGGGGGGGAGGAGAGTCAGATACGCATCCGTCCTTGGGGGTCCTCCTCCCTCTCCCTCCCCTCTCCCACGCTGGTCCTCCTCTGGTCCCCTTCGGGGGGGCACAGGGGGGAGTCCTTTTCCTCCTCCTTCTCCGCCACCTCCTCCTTCTCCTCCTCCTCCTCCTCCTCCTTCTCCTCCTCCTCCTCCTCTTCCTTCTCCTCCTCCTCACCCTCCTGGTCGTCGTCGATCTCTTTCAGGGTCGGCGGCACGGGCCGTCAGGCCTTCACAATCAGGCTCCACATCGAGCCGCGTCGCCGATGCATCGGCGGTGCGGCGCGATCCTCTTCCGACCCCATCTTCTCCGACCCAATTTCGGAGGCCTGGGCTATAGCCAGGATAAGACACTTCGCCACTGTTTAATGTGGTGGTGTGCGTGTGCCCCCCTTCAAAATTCCCAAAACGGAAACTGTCTGTTGAATCCGGACATTGGCGCGCCCGAGAACACTGCCGCAATGGGTCGAAACACTCTTCGTTCTCTCCACGTGGATTTGGCAATGTGCTGATCCTGGGGGAACCAGAAAGTACCGATACCGATACTCCCCAGACCTCTCCAAAGGTGCGTTCTGACTGGGATTTCGAGGCGAATCCAGAGGTGGCCACGAGGGCCTCCCAGGAGGCCGGAGGCTCAAACAAGGGAAAACGGGCGGAGGGTAGTGGTATGGGTACCTGTTCCTCCTCTGAGGCTCGCTGTGTCCTGGTCTTGGGGGCCCTGACTTCTGCTTGAGCAGGGGCCGACCGTCCCAGCAGTTCTATAGGCCTACCACGACGTCTTCTTAGAACCCCTGAATGTTCTGAGCACAACAACAATATTCTTAGAACATGAACCCGATGTGATAAATCTCAACCAGAAATTTTATGATAACATTTCGTGCAGACCACAGCAGGTTCTTAGAACATTCTTTGGTAGGCCTATGGGCGAGCTGGGACGCTTCGTCACTGCTTGAGTCGTGGGGTCCCTGACCTCTGCAGGCTCCGCAGCGGCCAGCCGACCACGAGGCCTGATGCAGTCCACGACCTCGTCCAGGGTCTCGCGGCTCGCGCTGCGGCGGGCGGCCCACCGCGCGGGCGCCGTAGCGGTGCCTGTTGCGCGCACGGGGGGTGGGCAGGAGTGGCGGGCTTCTTTGCCACCACCACCACCACCACCACCACCACCACCACCACCGTACGTAGTAGGGGGAGGGGGTCCTCCTCCTCCTCCTCCTCCTCCTCCTCCTCCTCCTCCTCCTCCTCCTCTTCTGCTTCCTCCTCCTCGTCCTCCACTCCTTCCCCCCTCCAACTTGTGGTGGTGGTGGTGGAAAACAGGCCCATCAAGGAGAGCTGGAATCGAGTGAACCAGTCAGATCGGCGGAATTCGGCATGCCAGGTGGACCTTCGTTGAGAAACCGAAGCCAACATCGGAATCTCAGGTCGGATCGAATCGGAATCGGAACTGATCGAAATCGGATCGAATGAAGCCAGAGGAATCGAAATGAGCCCTGGGGGGCGCTTATTTATGCTGCATTTTCGGGGAACCATCCCTGCCTCGTCGCGCCAGCACCCGCGCCGAAGCCGCGCCGAAACCGAGTCGAGTGCGCCGAACCCGTGCAGAGTCCGTGTCGAACCCGCGTCGGGTACAAGAAAAAACCGTAATCTGCGGGATAGGCGAAGGCGAACAGCCACTGACATAAACAGACAAATTCTCGGATTCGCGCGGATTTCTTGGATCGGCGCTGGACCCCCCTCCCCGGCGCGCGGAGCGCGCCAGGGGCGGCAGCGGAGGCGCCGCCAGGGGGCCTTGGCGCCGATCCGAGGAATCCACGCGGACCTCCAGAGTTTTTTGAGTTTACGTCCTCGGTTATTCTCCTCAGCCCGAAGGCAGGGCCGCCCCGAAAACGGCACGCGCACGACCCACAGCTCCCCTGCTGGGAGGGCCTGCGCAGCCCACGCCTGAGGCTCGAGCGGCTGCTCGCCACCGGAGCAGGCCACGGAGCACACGCGGATGCCCGGAGCTCTCGCTTGACATTGCCGTCGCAGCGTCCCCGCGCTGGCCAGCTCCGACTGCAAATGAGGGCCGACGCGTCCTGATTGCGCGCACGACGCAGTGGCGCACTGACCCTGGCCCAGCCAGGAGATGAGAAGGGAGGCGGAGAGGGGATGAGAGTGAGCCCAAAGACGGAAGAGGGTGAGGGATCCGGAGGAGGGGAGCAGAACGAGGATCAAGCCAGCCAGCGAGAACGAGCAGGCGATCCAATCCACCGACTGCGACACCCTTCCCCCCGCAGCTTGAGAACCAACACCAATACTGGCACGACTGAAGTCGGACTCGGCGCGTCCTCACACTTGGTGAGGGAAGGCGCTCGCGTTCGCGCATGCCGCCCCCACCAAAGGCGACCTGGCGAGTTTTGAACAGACGCCGCGCCCAAACGGGAACACACCCTTGGGGGAGAATCTGAGAAGAGAGCAACAATCGTCGTCGGCGTCGTCGTCGTCTCCCCTCAGGGGGGGAGGCACCGGCCGTCAGAACTTCACAATCTGAGAAGAGATAAACAGTCTGATCGCTGGCGCCCAACCGAGCTCCCGCGAGGCTTGGCGGTCGAGAAGCATGCGCCGCGCCCCGGCAGGAGCAGGACCGAGAGAGCATGGAGCTGCAAGCGCTGCGTTGCATTACTGTTGTTTTTCGGGGAGGGACCGCTCCCCAACCACGGTCGCCGAGGTCTCCCACGTGGCGCTGTTCGACAGCGCAGCCGGCCCTCCCCGCGTCACGTTCAAGAGATACCTGCGCCGCGCCTGGGGGAGAGCGACGCGAGGCTCCGTCGCGCGCGGTCCCGATTCTGACGATGTGGCGAGCGAAGTGTCTGCGCCGCGCCGGAGCGGGAGCTCAACGTGCAGGACAGACGGGCGCGGCGCTGAGGCGAGAGCGCATCGTGTATTGCAATATCGAAAACAAAACGTCCATGTATCGAGAACATGACGTCAAATCGAACACAGGCCGCAACATCGAAAACATGAAGAGGGAGCACGATGATTGTGTATTGCTCATGAAAGGCAAAAGGAAACCACCCGGTTGTGACCCCTATCGCCCGGCTGGGTGGCTGAATGGAAGCATACACCGATAAGGCACAAAGATGCAGATAGGGGAACGAGGAGGAGTACCACCAGGATAGTTACATCGCACCAATCGGATGAGGAGGCAGAAGAAAAGCAGGACAAGCAGGAGGAAGAGGACGAGCTGAACGAAGGTGGGGAAAATATACGGCCCCCTCTTCCTACTCCTCGCTGTCCTCCTCGTCTCCTCGGCCTCCTCCCTCGCCCCCAGCTGTGGAAACTCAAAAGTACGGATACCGCTACTCCCCGGACCTCTCCCAGAGCGCGTGCTGACCAAAACTTCGAGCGAATCCACCAAGGAGGCCAAAAAAGGCGAAAGCGGGCCAGCGGCTTGGGCACCTCTTCCTTCTCTGATCAGCCCTCCTTTCTCCTCCTGGGCCCTCTCACCCCAAAATCGTCCTCGAGACTCCCAGAGCGAACGCGTGTCTTGCCATCGCTCGCTCGGACGTCCATTTTCCGTGTACCTTTCAATGTCGTGCGCTGATGCATCGAAAATGATCCAGGATGCTCCCGAAGGGTCCTCGCCGAGGAGGAACATACACACGTCCGAGCGATGCCAAGGTCTCCGTGTCCGGCCGTGTGCCTTGGGGCCCCCGCCGGGGGGCTGCCCGCCGCCGCGCGCCTCCGCGCCGCCGCCGCGCGGCCGGCCAGAGCGCGCCGCTCTGCGGGAGCGCCGCCCGCGGAGGTCCGCGCCTGCGGACGGGGGGGGGGCGAGGAGGGGCGAGGAGGGTATGTTCTTCGATTCGTGACAGCTGGCGCGAAGCTCTCCAGCGATCCACGCAGCGCGACTGCTCTGCGGTCAGGTGCTGGCCCCAGCAAGGGGGCCCCCCCCCCCGCGGAGGACAGGAACACAGCAACAGCACGACCTGTGCACGCACAGGCTCGCAGGGGGCGAGGCGAAAGCGCCGAGGAGGACGAGGAGGGGCGGATCTCCCGCAGCGGTCGACCTCGGTCGGCGAATTACAGTCGGGCCTAGGCCAGAAGAACAGCCTTGAAGAACATCCGCAACTGCGGGATGCTAGGCTACTATAGGATTCCTCGGTTCGCACATTGCACCTGGGAGGGCGACGCCCACCTAGTGTCAGCTTGTTGGGGTGACGCTGGTGTATACACCTGACCATCGACACCTGCCCTCTTCGTATATGAGCGTACAGCCGGACCTAAGCCAGAAGAACATCCCTCAACATTATGAGACCCTCTGTCGGCCCAAACGAACGGAACATCCGAGAGCACCAAACCCCATGGTGCACAATGCACAAGAATATCAAACAAGCACGAAGAACACTGGGGATATCCGGGATGCCCTCCCCGAGCCGACCTCGACCTTATACCTTGGCCCGACTGCACACGAAAAGAGCGACCGCAGGCAAAAGTGGCCTTGGGTGCGCGGCTTGCCGATCGCGGCATGCGCTGCGACAACACCTGCATGAGCGCTCGGGGTTGGCCCCGCGCCCCCAGAGAGACGCGCACCACAAGCCCCTTCGGCAACGGGTAACTCCACGTGTAGCCGATTCGGCCTGGATTGGAGCTACCAGCGCCGCCGGCCTTCCGAAGTTGGTGCCACACGGCGGCGGAGAGGGAGCGATTCAGCGAGAGCCAGGCACACGACGACGAGGACGACGACGACGACGACGACGACGAGGAAACGAGAAGCAAGCATACGACGCGCCTGCTGGAGGGAGAAGTGGTGGAGGGATAGCACACCCAAGGTGACCCCTGCAAGCCTCGGGTGGCGACCAGGGGGTCCTATTCGTGGAGGGGCTGAAGGTTTAGAGTCTACCTACGAAAACGGGAGGGGGTCAGAGAAGAAGGGGTCGACAAATTGCACCGCATGGCCGATGCATCGCCGATGCATCGGCGACGTCGGCGATGCATCGGCGAGATCGGCGTGGAACAAATCTGACTAAATCGCACTCCACATCGAGCCGCAGTGACGATGCGTCGGCGATGCATCGGCGATGCGGCGCGATCCTCCGACCCCATCTGCTCCGACCCTATCTCGGCGGTGGATAAACTTCCCTTTGCTAAACCACCCTTTCGTGAAAACGGCCCAAGACCGAAACCGATGGGCCTGGACCCACAAAAGTGACGGCCGCGACGCCCTCTCGCAAACCGAAAACGGCCAGTTCACCAATCGACGTGTCAGGGTAGGAGGTCTATCAGCCTCCATCTGGGAGGCCTGGGCCCAGCTGGCACCTCCAGCCTTGTCCTGGCGGCTCGCTCGCCTGGTCCGTCGGCAGCGCGAGGGGAGGCGGAAGGCGAGGGGGGCCAATGAGGGAGGGCGCGCCGCTGGATGTCCCCAGGGGGGACGGTTGGGACCCCCCCCCCCGTTCCCCGATCCGTCGTCGGGGACCCCCCCCGCCCCTCCCCCCTTTCCCGATCCGTCGTCGGGGGATCCCCCCTCCCTCCCCCCCTTTTCCCGGTCCGTCGTCGGGGACCCCCCCTCCCCCCCTTTCCAAAAGGGGAGGGGGATCCGAACACCCCCCCCCCCCTCCCTCCCTTTGGGCGCCAAAATCGACACCCCCCCCTTTCGCCACGGCGCCCCTGGTCTCCGGAACCCGACCCCTACCACCCCTAACGCAAATCCTCACCCTTACCCTAACCCCCAACCCTAAACCCTAAACCCCAAACCATAGCCCCAAACAGTACTCACTACTCATTATGCATTACCCACTACCCACAATTCACTACTCGCTACTCACTACTCACTTGTCACTACTCACTACTCACGACCCACTACTCACTACCCACGACTCACCACCCACTACCCACTACTCCATACCCCCTACTCCCTACTCACTACTCACTACAAGCTACTCACTACTCACTACCCACTACTCAATACTCACAGCTCACTGAACACAACTCACTAGCCACTACTCACTAATTACAAATCATTACTCACTACCCACTAACCACGATCCACGACTCACACTGCACTACTCACTACTCACTGCCCAAAACTCACTACTCACTATCCACTACTCGCTACTCGCTACTCACTACACAATACTCCCTACTCCCTACTCACTACTCGCTACTCCCTACGCCCCACTCGCTACCCAATACGCACTATTCACTACCCACTACTGACTACTCACCACGCTCCCACTACTCACTACTCACTATTTCCTATTCCCTACTCGCTACTCTGAACTCACTACTCACTACTCAGTACCCAGTACTCCATACTCACTACTCACTAAACACTACTTACCGCCCACTACTCACTACTCACTATGCACTACTCACTCCTCACTAACCACTATCCACTACTACTACTGAGTACTCACAATGCACTACTCGCTATGCACCGCCCACAAATCAATACTCACTATCCGCTGCTCGCTACACAATACGAAATCCCACCAGCCCTTTGGGCGCGAGTGGTTTACAGAGCCTGCTCTGTCCTCAACCCCCCTTCTTCCCCTTCGGGGAAGGGTTTACCCCTCCCCCTGGGCCTGGACAGGGGGCCCGGCGGGTCGTCAGGGGGGTCAATTTCGACTCCTGGGAGGGCCAAAAAACGACGACCCTCACGAGGATTCTGGCCCCGACGGGGGGACGGAGACAGGCCCCTCTGCTCTTCTTTGAAGCCAAAATCATTGATTGTACTACGGTTTTGGCCCCATTTTGGAGTCCTGAGGGGGCCGCGCCCATCTTCCTTCATAGCAAAATCATTGATTTTACAGAAAGGTTTTGGGCTCATTTTGTCTTTCTCAGGGGGCAGCGCTCACTTGCGCTTCTGAGGAGGTCGCAAGAGGCCCCAAGATGGACCCAAGAGGCTCCCAGGAGGCTCCCAAGAGGCCTCCAAGAGGCCCCCAATAAGCCCCCAAGAGGCCCCAAGACGCCCCCAAGAGGCCCCCAAGAGGCCCCCAAGAGGCCCCAACAGGCCCCAAGAGGCCCCCAAGAGGCTCCCCAGAGGCGCCCAAGAGGCCCCCAAGAGGCCCCAAGAGGCTCCACGAGGAGGACTCACACCAACGAGAACGACCCCGAACGAGGAGGGGCCCGAACGACTCACACCAGGACGAGGGGCCCGAACAACTCACGACACGAGAAGCCCGAACGACTCACTCACACCAGGACGAAGAGCCCGAACGACTCACACCACGAAGAGCCCGAACGACTCACACCAGGAAGAAGGGCCCGAACGACTCACACCAGGACGAGAAACCCCAAACGACTCAAATCACGAGGAGCGCTTTCTCTCCCTCCTCCTCCGCCTCGTCCTTCTCCCGCTCCCCCCACAAGGAGGATGTACAAGGAGGCGGGAGGAAGGAGGAACAGGGGAGATATGCGGGGCCAAGCGGACGCACGCCTGAAAAACACGACTGTCGGCATGCTTCGCAAGAGTTGTTGCTGTGAGATGGGCTGGTGGGGATACGCGAAGCGTAAAGAATTTGGAACTACCCACTGCGCAAAACTCGCTACCCACTACTCACTACTCCCTACTCCCTACTCACTAAGTCACTGGTAGTAAGTCGCTACTCGCTAATCACTACTCAATATTCACTACTCAAAACCTCCTTCTCGCTTCTCGCTACTCGCTACTCACTACTCACTCCTGACAACTCCCTCCTCACTACACACTACTCACAACGCCCTCCTCGCTACTCACTACTCACTACTCGCTACTCCCTGCTCGCTACTCACTACCCCCTACTGTATACTCACTTCTCACTAAGCACAACTCACTACCCATTACTCACTATGCACAAATCACTACTCACTACCCACTAACCACTACCCACTACTCCCTACACACACTTCCATGACAAAAAATACCCACTGCCCACAACCCACTACTCACTATCCACTACTCGCTACTCCTTACACAGTACCCCTACTCACTACTCACTACTCGCTACTCCTTAAGCCCTACTCGCTACCCAATACGCACTACCTACTACCCACTACTCACTACTCACCACGCTCCCACTACTCACTACTAAATACTTCCTACTCCCTACTCACTACTCTTAACTCACTACTCATTTCTCGCGACTCACAACTCCTTACGCACTACTCCCTAAAACCTACTCGCTGGTCACAAGTCGCAAGTCGCTACTCACTACTCACTACTCACTATTCAAGACTCACTACTCGCTAATTTCTACTCGCGACTCCGTACTCACTACCCACCACTCAAAACCCCCTTCTCGCTTCTCACTACGCACTACTCACTACTAACTACTCCCTACTCACTACTCACTACTCACTACTCGCTACTCCCGACTCGCTACTCCCTACTCCCTACTCCCTACTCACTACTGGCTCCTGACTGCTCCCTCCTCACTACCCACTACTCACAACGCCCTGCGCGCTTCTAACTACTTATTACTCGCTACTCCCTACTCGCTACTCCCTGCTCGCTACTCTCTAATCACCACCCACTACTCACTAGTCTCTACTCACTGCGCACTACTCACTACTCACTACCCACTCCTCTCTATTCGCTTATGTCTACTCCCTCATCCTACTCCCTGTTCGCGACTCACTATGCACTAATCACGACGCACTACTCATTTCTCACTACTCACAACTCCTTACGCACTACTTCCTCCCCACTACTCATTACCCACTACTCACTAATCTCTACGCACTACTCACTACTCTCACGACCCACTACCCACTACTCACTACTACTCACTATCAAATACCCACTACTCAACCATCGCTACTCGAAACACTCTACTCTATTCTCGCTAACCGAGAGGCCCTCTTCCCAGCCCCCTGCTCGTCGCAAAGGGGGAGGGGGGGGCGGGTTCGAGCCCCCCGCCCCTGTCTCCCCCCCCCCCCCCCCCTTTAGCAGAGACCGCGTTGTTAGAAAAAGCTTGAGCCCCGATGTTAATGCGAGAGGCTCTTCGCGCATGTCTCTGACTGCTCCACTGCTAAGCAAAGCTATGCAAACTATACTCTTGTAAGACCAGATACTACTCTGCGCAAAACAGACCTCAAACGTAGGACTGGCTCTAGTGCCCCGGCCATGAATTAATTGTATTCGAAGGGCGCACTCAAAACACATAATGTGTTGAAATCGTCCGTCCACTCGCTGTAAACTCTCAAGCGAGCAGACAGCAACAGTGCAATAGCAAACAATCAATCCTCGTTAACGATGTTCTGAAAGTTAACGACCTCCGCGTGGTTTAAGAAGCCCCCCCGTGGTAATTCATACGTCGGCCGATCCTTGGAGTCGGCGCGCGGACTCCAATGGCTGCCACCGTAGTTGCATGCAGATCTCTGTTACCTGAACTGATCAAATCCAAGCAACACTGAACAGTCCGTGTATTGTCATATCATCACCACTCGTTGAGATCTAGGAGGTCCTGCTCTGAATAGCTGTCACTCGTCTTCGCGGCTCTCCTCATGGTGATGACCTTGCCCCTTTGGAGGATGCACATGCCACATTCCTGTCGTCGCATGTTCCATCAATAACTTAACTGCGCCCGCCTTCATGAGTCCGTCCACAATCACCGCCGCCGTGGGCAGGTGGATGAAGTCCATGATGCGTTCACTAAGACGCCCCTCTCTCATGCTTAGTTAGCACTGCCAATCGGCTCTGCTTGCCCGACGGGACGCCCTTAACTCCATAGCAACATTGCCAGAAGTCCACACAATCCGTACAGTGATCAGGTCGCACTAGATATAATGACCCATCGAAAACCTGCATCATGTCCTTGGCCTTGTGCTGTGTCTCGCTGCATGTGATAATCTCACTGAGCCTGCGTGCAACGACCTGAGCTGTCTGGTTCACTTTGTAGCCCGCGTTGGTCTCTGCGTTGCATGTCGAGTGGGGTATCCATTTCTGACTTCCCTGGCGATAGTGCCAATGAGTGGGTCACTCCACCGAGGATGCTGTTATCGTATGGATGAACGATGTCCTTCTTGTCGACCCTGACCAATGAACTTCCATGAGAAATACAGCTGCTCCTTGTTGAGAATAAGATATATTGGCGCTGCCGTGTCCTGCGTCTGCAACCGATACAAGCCTCATTGGTAGGGATAATGGTCCGAAATGCAATCCAATCATCTTGGAGTTACGCTTAGCTCGATCCACGATGAGATTGGCCTGCTTCAGGTGTCCGATGTTACTCTTCCGTGCAAGCTGCTGCAACTGCAGTGCGTCGCAATATCTTCGTGCGTCTGACATCACAACAACAGTGAGCAGAGTAGAAATCGAAGACGACGCGTAAGTTTAGCATCGCATCCATGTGTCAGCTTATCCTTGAGCTTGTATGGTATCCCGGTATTATTCAGGCCTTCTGCGAATACGTGCTAATGGATCAATGGGTCTCGCTTTCCAATCACTTCGCAGCTCACTACCACGCGCGTGAATGGTAGTTGGTGTCTCTTGATCCTGCCGAAACGCTTCTCCATAGAAGTGAGACTCCAAGCCATGCTTCTTTTGCCAGAACTATGATATCGTCCACGTGAACTGTCCATACCATCATAATATCACCGCTCCTCACCCACATGAAGAAACTGCCGTTGAATACGCTCTAAAATCCTTCTCACTTCGTCAAGAACATGTAAAGATAATGCCAGCTGCCACAATAATGGTGCGCCCACTGCCACACAGATGGGTTTGAGCAGCTGCCGGGCAAAGACCACGGCGTCCGCATCTGGAATTATGATGTCGCTTTTCTCGCACGCGCCAGACGTTGACCGGCGGTTGTAAGTAAATGTTTCGTTGCTCTCGCACTTCAATACCCATCCTCTTGGCGTGCTTTCTAAGTTGTTCGTAGTTCAGGCCCTGTAGGAATCCAGTAGATATGTCCCAGGTCTCCATGTTCATGTCCTTTTCCGTAGCAAACATTGCAGCGGTCACTCTTGGGGACAATCGCGATGCCGTTGATGAGTGACACATGACGTTCTGCTTCTGCGCGTCCAGGAAGCCTCGACCACAAAGTCGCGACTTGATGGTATACGTCATATTAGCGTTGCTATCGTAGACCTTCTTCCAGCGTCTGGCCCAGACTGCGCCGATGATGTTCGAGCTGTCCATGTTGTTAGGATGTACCGCCTTGAAGCAACCATCATGACTGTACCTGATTTCAGTCGGTCCGCTGCTTCCACTACTGGCCTAGGTTTGATGAGATCTTCCTCCGTCAAGATGTCGTCGCTCTACGCAAATATCGCGTCGCCGGTGGTCAGGTCAAAGTTATATCCGGCTCTCTTTGAGTGGTCCTGGTATTGTCCAATGAGGCTGATCTGGTGTCTATGTAAACTGGTTCCCACTCATGTGCTGAAGGTTGCCCGATACCTCCTGAGCCATTGTTGCCGTGGTCGCCTGGTATTCGTTGGGCTCTTCTGAGTCCATATGCGCGCTGACAAGATGACGATCCTGCACGTATGCCCAATTGTTGATCGCCAATCGCTACGAATCCTTCCATCATCTTTGGTCGCTTCGTGTCTGTCAACTGCGTTGGTGACCGCTCCAGGATCGGCAGTGATTCCTTAGCGCCCGGCGGTTCTGAGCTGGCTCTCATTCTCTTGTATTCAAGTGGCTGCGACGGAGAAGTCTTGATTCGCACGTCTCCAAGATCCGCTGATAGGTCGTGCTTCTTTAGGTTTGAGCTGGTGCTGCTGGAGTGGCCACTCGAAGCACTTCTTTGCGAACTTCTGCCGGTGATCCATAATCTACCGTAGGTTCTTCAGCTGGTCCGTAGTCCACCGCGGGCGCTTCCTCGTCATCATAAATGATCGTACTCTACAGGCGTGCCCATTTTCGATGATGGCGTTGCCATTCGAGCCGGAGGTGTCGATGTGCCTGGAGGAGGCCTCGCTGGTGAACTGGTTGACCTCGATTGATTCGCACTCTTCGTCGGCGTGGAAATCGACGGTGCCGGTGCAGGATATGAGGAAGGAGCTGGTGATGTTGAGCTCTAGGATGTGATGACGTCGTAGGTGTAGCCGTTGTCTGCGCCGTTGCTGGCGTCGCCGTTGACTCTGATATTGGCTTGCGGCCCGACAAGCTCGAAGATCCGGGTTCGCTACGTTGCCTTGGTGGTGTTCGACTGAGCTCTCGTCTGCTCGCCGCTGGAACTGACTGAGCTCGCGATGCCTCTGGATTTATCGTCTTGGTCGGCTTCGGCTGAAGTATTATCGGAATAGTCATTGGAGCCGATACTTGCATGGGCATCGGAAATACGAACGGTGGAAATTGCGGTCTCCAGCCAGCCGCCGGCGGAGGCGGTGGTGGTGGAGCTCCTGATTCAACCTCGGGCGTGAACTGCCCATCGCTGATCATACTCTCGTCGTCCACCTCGACGCTGTGCTGCGAATCGTTCCGGGTCCGTTGAGCTCTCTCTCTCTCTCTCTCTCTCTCTCTCTCTCTCTTTCTCTGCCAACTTGTACCATTCCGTAGTCTGATTCGCTGTGGTGCCGTTGGAGGAAATTGTGGTATCGGTGGCATGTTGTCCGCCTCTACTATGCTCGCGTCTCCATCCGGCCACGCTGAATCGCCGATGTCGAATGTCATCGGACCAGGTGCCTTGGCGATGGCCTGAGCTGGAGCAGGCGGTGGTCCTGGAGGTCCTCCGCCATCTTGTGGTCCAGTGAGTGCAGGCTGTGGATCATGTACAGGTTGTTGCCGTATAGCTGCTGCTGGTGGTGCATGTGGTGCAAGAGGTCCAGGCCCAGGTTGAAGTGGTGCCATCGCGGCTGGTGCTGCTGGTGGACCAGGTGGTCCAGGTGGTCCATGGTCGTGCGCTGGTTTTCGTTCGGGAGATAGTGGCCACTGTAGAGGCAGAACTAGCATGTCGGTATCGTCGTCATCAGGATCGTTCGCTGAGATGTCCGAAAAGTCTGGTATAGTGTGCTGCTTGGCGTCTTCGTCCTCCGTGATTGACGCGACAGAATAGAATGATATACTGCATGCGTTCACGGCGTTCATGTTTGGTATCATGTTGAGGATGTCCAGTACTTCTCTGCCAGGGCTAATATCCGTGACCACGGATTTCTCCCGAAAGGGTACAGTCCCATGTGGCAACTCGTCATCCAAAAGGTGCGCCTGCCATCGTGAATAATCTGCGAACGCACCTGCCAAGGACTATCACATCTATCTTCATGCCCCATTCGTCCTCCGCACATTTGACATACTTGTCGATGGTCTCATTTCTCTGTCTGCACCGACGATCATGCCCACGATCTGCGTTTTGAACGGCATCGTACCTTCTACGATGTCCAGCATGTCGGTGTAGTCGCTAACCAGATGCGTTGATGGCCAGGCTGCCGCGCGTTGAATATGATAACTGGTTGCCCAAGCCGTCAGCCGCTGGCGAAATCTACCATTCCAAACCACAATGGCTCCTGCACTCTTGAGATGTAGTTGATCGCAGGGACCGCACCAGCCCTCCTGCTCCTCTTGTTCGGCGCCCGATACAGGTCGACCAGGTCACCCACTTTGATGTTATCGGTGTCGAGTTTCTGCGTGCGTGACTCGTTGGCGATGGCTATCCGCTCCTCGACAATCGGCCTAAGAACGTATTGCTTAGATAAGATTATCACTCTAACGTTAAGATTCGAACAAATCTGGAGAAATCTCAAGTGCACTTTTATGAGCCGTCGTCGTCGCTGAGTCTACGTCATAGAAATCAATTGGCGTGTAACCGAGGAGGGCGTTGGCTGGGGCACTGCCGCCGAAGTTCAGCATGAGGTTCTGAGACATGGCGGCCTCGCATACCAGAATCTCTCTGGCAATGTGAAGCCCTGCCTTCTCAGCTACCACTGCGTTCTTCAGCACAATCGATTTTGTCATGAAGATGTGCGATTCCACCAGTCTGGTTGTCGGGTGATTCTCCTCGTTCGGGTCCGCGCCTGCGAACTCTCGCTTAATCGTGAATCTATCCGATGTAGGTCCAATGATATCTGATGTAAGCGAGCCATCTTGATCTGATACAAACGCCCCCATGGCCCCGAAAAAACTGATGCAACATTCGACCGTGCAGCGTAAGTATTCTGGGGCTCTTTTATCCTTCATGGCGCCGATGACCTTGCACCTGATATGTTCGCCCGCCAGAATAAGCCACGCCATGTCCCAGAGAAAGAAGATCGCCTGGAAATCGCTCGTTGAACTTTGCAGTGATATGCGCCTTGAACGCCGGTCGGCGAAGAGACATCGCGCAGAGGCGGCGCGCGTCGCACAATTCCTTGACCACTTGCGGATAGAGCTTGGCAGTGCTTTCTTCCACTCCGGGCGCAGCCAGTAGTCTCGCCATCTCGTCAGGGGTGGGTTGCCAGAACTGCGCGTGGAATCCTAGTAGCAGTGCCAACCAAGCTTGCTCTGAAGCCGCCTCTTCGAGTTGATGCTCGAAGCGCTGCAAGTCGAAATTGGGCTTGATGGCTATCGCTTTCTTCGGCGACGCCGCGACGATGCTCGGCTGGTCCGCCGCGTCGCCCCGATTGCTCGCGTCCGTTTCATTTGGAGCAAGTGCAGGTGGAGGTTCTGGCGCAGGTTGTTCTGGGACAGATTCTGGTTCTGGCACTGGTGCCGGCGCAGGAGGTGGAACTGCTTGTGGTTCTTGGAGTAACTGGCACTGGTGCTGGAGCTGGTGCCACCGCGGGAAGTGGTCCGGCTGCATTCGGCGGTTCTCGGTTCGGGTCGAATCTGCAGCCCTTCACTCGAGTGCGAGGCGCACCTGCCACGTTGCCATGTCTGCGCCTCTCGCGCGCCTAGAATGAAAAGTCCAATGGTGCCTTCAGGGTCATCTCGATGCTTTTGCTGACGTCCTTCATAATACTCTTGCAAGGCTTCTCCGTGCAGATCTTGGCTTTGGACGTCTGACTTCCCCCAACAAGCCACGAGTGCGGTCGCGCGCGTTGACATTGAACTGCCGTCCGCCCCAACCGAAATGAGGCCATGAACACGGTTGTTCGTGAAAAGGCGTTCCGTCTGCATCTTGAGCGCCGCGCTGGCATTGATCACGCATGTCGTTGCACGCCCGCTCGTCTGACAGAAGCTCCTTCGCCGGTGACTCCTCCCAGATAGCACTGTTGGCCGGGTGCTCCACGATGTAGTCCGCGGTTGGTTGGTAGCCTTGCGTTCGTCGGCATGCCATTGAAGAGCTGACTTTTCGGCTTTCCTGTTGGCTGCCTTCGCCCCTGGGTCTGTCGCCTGACTTGCCTGCGACCGCGGCGTGCACTCTGGGGTATATATCTTGACTTGAACTCGAATAGCTCGTCGAAGCTTCTCAAAGATGCCCCGGCGTTCCTTCGGGCCAAGATTCCAACCATATCGGGTGTCCGTCGGGGCGAGCGTTGTGAATTCACTCCGGCGAGCCCAGAAAGAGAGCGCTGCTGCCTGAGAAATGCTCCTGCATGTCCACGCTCGTGATCCTGTTGTCCAGGAGGTGCTTCAGGAAACCGTCGGCGTTCCGGGATTCCGCAGCGTTTGTTTCTTGAAACGCCCCTCTCGTCGATGGCCAAGCCCGTCAGGTATGAGATATCCCCTGTAACACTTGCCTCTGAAGGTGCTCCAGATCTTCCAGCAATGTTGTGCCTTGGTAACTGTTGACCTTCTCGTCGGGCATTGAAGGTCTTGATCGCACTTATCGTTGCTGCATTGATCTCCAGAGAATGCCGTCTTCATGCTCACGAAATGATACGTTCCAGTCGTCGACGATGATGTCTTGATACGCTCCCGAATAATATTGAGACTATGGCTGAGGTCCTTTAACTGCGCCATGATGTCGGACTCGTTCGCCCCGGTGTTCTGTCCAGTGAAGCAACTTGACTTCGCTCCGATGCTAGCGTCCACGGGTGCTTCCGTCGCGTTAAACTCTGCCGGGGCGCTGCCATCTCGAGTCGGCTTGACGTGCCGAAATATCTGCAGATGGCCCCCGCTGACTCCATGGAGGTACTCTTGATCAACGTCCTCGCGAATGTGCTCTTTGTCCGGCGGAACGGTATAGTGCTTAGAGCCTGTGAGCAATAACCTGATATCAACTGGTGGGGCTGTGTTGCCTCTTCGCCGATTCTCTGGAAATACAGCGAAAAAGCCATCGCCATCGATATCGCATTGAGGTCAGCAGTGGTAAAAGTGCTGGACACCAACTCCCCGCGCCGCCAATCATGTCTCCAATGAACCTCGCGCCTGTCATAACTGGAACCCGCAATGGTACGACTGAGTCGGTTTGCCGTCCATGCCGGTGAATTGCCTCCGTGTCGGCGTGGATTCGATGTCTGCGCCACAAAGCACTCCCTGTTGATATTCTCGGGCTGCGTCAGTGCCGATGATGCCCGATGATGCTCCAGGATCGCGCAATAACCCAAATCGCTTCGTTACTCGAATGCTGTGATAACTGGTGCTGCTCTGCCCGATGTTGTGACTTTTCGCCGCCGGGCGCCGATCGCAACGCAAGTCCTGCACTTCTCGCGCCAAGAAATCCAATCCACCAAGAAAGATGCCTGTGGGTAGCCGTTTGGGAAGTTCAGCGTCGCCATTCTGAAAATCCTCAGCTGTTGCCGATCCCGAGTCTGATCCGAACTCCTCATGCGCACGTCGAATGGGTCGTCTCGGGGCCAAGGACCCGGCCGCCCGTGGCGATGATTTCGGCATCGCCTTTGAATTCGCTGCTGCATCTGGAAATCCGCGAAGACCTCGCCGCCCGACATCTGGCGATTCCTGATCGTCCAAGCTGTGCGAGGGCACAGTCTGCAATGGGGACCATGCTGAGGCGTTGTGATTGTCCCAGGGGACATGCGTCTTCAGTGTCGGGGCCCAAGGGAATTCCTTCATGTCCTTGGTGGCAAACCAACTGCCATGGGAACTGTTCCAATCGTCATCGTAATAGTCGTAATCATCGCCGTAGTGGCCCTTGCTCTTCTTGCCCTTGCCTTGACCGCGATATCCCTTGCCTTTTCCTTGTAATTTGCCTCTATATATATGTATCCTTTAGATTTTCCTCGTCCTTTACCTCCGTTCGAGTCCGACATGGTCTTGCCCTTCGAATCGCTCTTGTCTTTACCGTCGTTCTTCTTCTGGTAGTCCTTATCCTTGGAGCCGGCTGGGCAATCCTCGCTATTGCGTCATCTTGATCCGCATTTGCGGCAATTGCCTGGATCGCCTTTCTTGCCGGTGCCTTTGAAAGCTCCGTCATCTTCTGTCGGTGGTGCATAACTCTCATCATATGCGTGATCCTCGCCCCGCCCAGTCGTCGTCGTCCTCGTAATATTGCCATTGTCCATCACCATCGCAATATCCGTTGTAACCCCAGAACTCTTCATCATCTCAGTCAACCCAGTAGCCTCCATACTGATCTGGATTGTTCTGGGCAGGTGACTGCGTGGCGAGGCTTGCCTTGATCTCATTGTAACGTCGGAGGTCGCCGTCGATCTTGAGTTTGATGTCATCGACAAGCTTGGCCGATAGACCGCATCCTTGAAGTAGTAGATAGCTCCTGCCGACGGCATTGATGCTCAGTCCTGCTTCATCTGCTGCTTCATCGCACACAAGTTCCACATCTGAAATATGTTGTCCTAGATCACGAGGTCCTCTCTTGAGGCTGAAGAATTTGCCCAGCGCAATCCGACTGTGTCTTGATCATGCAGTCCGCATCCCCCTTCCAGCCAGCGAGTAAAGAGTGACAGTCCTGAGGGCTGTGCCAGAGTACCGTAAACTTAATATGCTTCCGTTCGTTCTAGTGCGAAAGCGTCGTCACCAACATGTCCTCGTCCATTTCGTTCGGCCCTGAATATTAATGCTTGCTTGTAGGCGCCTCCTTGGAGGCGTTGCAGTACCAGAAGTGTTGCCACGCTGTCATCCTCAACATTTTCGGTTCTCCACCAGAGTGGTCTCTTTTGAAGATAATGTTTGACACTATACTTGGCAACGCCTGGCTTCCAGCCAGAAGGTGTCTGTCGCGTGCTCTCTTCGAATGGCAACGACTGTGATCTGAAGTAATCCATCTCGAGCATCCGTGCGGTAGTTCGTTATCCTTTCCAAATGTAGAGATTTGGATGTCCGTGAACTTTGCCTGGTGTAGAGATCTGGATGTCCGAATCCTCTGCCGAGCGTGAGAATCTGGATGTCCGTATACTTTGCCGACTGTAAGAATCTGGATGTCCGTAAACACTACCGAATGAGATTGAATCTGATCGTCCGTAATCTTTACCGGGTGTGATGGAGCCTCGCCAAGAGGTGAGCGGTGAAGAGGTCGTCGCAGATAATGCTGATCGTCGCAGATAATGCTGATATGCGTCGCGATATTGATATTTTCGGGGTAGCCGTCAATGCTGCGCACCTCCTTGGTGACGCAGATCACCTGCCTGATGATCCGGTCCGCGATGCTATCACGGATGGCGAGCTGGCCTGGCGGGGCGGGGCCGCGCGCGCCGCCCGTGGGCGGCTCCGCTACCAGAGCGGATATCGCTATGTTTTCAAAGAGCTTGAACCCCGATGTTAATACGAGAGGCTCTTCAAGCATGTCCCTGACTGCTCTACTGCTAAGCAAAGCTATGCAAAGATACTCTGATAGGATCAGATACTACCCGACCCAAATCAAACCTAAAACTTCGGTCCTTAAGGGGGGGAGGGGGGGGTCGGACATTTCACCCCCCTTTGAAAGGGGGGGGGCTCTGCGAGCAAACACGCCCTTTTGTGTATTCAGGGTTATCCACTGGCGCGCTTTCCCAATGAGGAAGCTGTTTTCCACCACCACCACCACCAGAAATTGGAGGGGGACGGGTTCCTCCTCCTCCTCCTCCGCCTCCTCCTCCTCCTCCTCCTCCTCCTCCTCGTCCTCCTCCTCCTCCTCCTCGTCCCCCCTCCTCCTCCTCCTCCTCCTCCTCCTCCTCTTCCTCTTCCTCTTCCTCCTCCTCCTCCGCCACCTGTTTCCCCCTCCAATGTATGGTGCTGGTGGTGGAAAACGGGCCCACCAGGCCAAGGAGGGAGGAAAAGGGTCTGGCCATCTGTTTCGCCATCGTCAGGCCCGTGGGGGCCTCCACGGGTCGAGTAGGGGATCGACTACAACATTGATTTGTCCCAGACTTGATTGGTTTGTCGATCTCTACCAAAATACGTCGACTGACCCATATATGTAAGAACATTATACGTCTTCGTTTCTTAAGCTCGACGTGGAAATCAAGTTTGGCGCAAATCAATTCTGTAGTCGATCCCCTATGCGAGAGGGCCTCGGGCCCGTCACAAAAACGGGCTCGGGACGAAAAACCTGTCCAGGGGAAAACCATCCGGGCCAAACTTATTTGTCCCTGGTCTTTTTGCTCGATCCCGGTGACGGGGGGCGTTCCTGGGAACTCGATAAAAACGTGAAAACTCATGACCCTTTTCTGCAGGGGCCCAGGGGCACACACAAACAAATGCACACATATCCCAGGATTCCCAAATGTGTTCCACATTATCTGGCTGGTCGCCGACCCTTCCACTTCCCATGTGTTCCTCATTCTCCTGGGAATCGACGATTACCCGTCGGTCGGAAGAAGTGGGTAGAGACATGAAGCAGGAAGGCTTTCGAAATTAATTGGGTCTTCGGCCACCCCTTGGGGAGGGAGGAACCGCTAGACGCTTAAAGTAGGAACGCGCCTAGGATCTGGAAATCCAGAAGTACCTACTTTAAACGATTGGCGTGTATGTATGACGGCCAAGGGTCTGGGACTCTGTGTCCCCCCTGTACCCTTCGTCTGTTTCCAAAGGATCTGGGACGCTGTGTCCTACCTGTACCCATCGGCCGATTGAGACCCGAGGATCTGGGACTCTGCGCCCCCCCTGTAACCATCGGCTGAATGAGATTCAAGGATCTGGGACTCTGTGTCCCCCCTGTTCCCACCTGCGACGCATTGGTGCGCCAACGACGTGCGTGACACGCCCGCGTTGGGGCCTCGGGTCTTACCTGTGCGCATTGGGGCGTGTCCCAACGTGAGCACCTCGGTGCATGCTGGCGAGACTTCGGCTGGCGTGAGACGCCGGCCTCTCTCCTCCCTGTTCGCTTCTTCCCTCCCCGCTCGCTTTCCCCCCCTCCCATGGCGGCGGCGCCAGGCACAGCGCGGCTCCGGCCCGGTGCTGGAGCTGCACCTTGCCGCCTCGGCGGCCCCGCTCACCCTGGGCAGCGCGGCTCAAGCCCGGCCCGCGGCAGGCGGACACAGACGGCCCTTCTGGCCGCACCTCTTGGCTGCTACCTGGACGTGGATTGGACTACCACCCCAGGCCGCTATATACCGACCACCCGGTGGCACAACGTTGCACATCGTCTTCGTGGTCCTCCTCATCTCCTGGGCCTCTCCTTGCCGGTTGGTGGCACCTGTTGCACTTCGCCTACCTGGTCTTCCTCTACCCCTCGGGCGTCGACCTGGTCACGTCCCTCCCCACGCAGCACTCGAAAATTGTGATTCTGACGCGCCGTTGACGGCAACACCACTTCGCTCCCCCTCCGGAACTTCGCCTCTGGCTCCTGTCCAAGGCGTACCGTTTCCTGTGCAAGCTCTTCGGCACCTCCTGCACCCCGCTCCATCCGGCCGCCCGAGGCCCCGCCCGCCCGCACCCTGTCTCCCCAATTAGTGCTTTGCGCGCCCCGCCTAGCTCTTAACCAGAACAGGCCCGCTCTCGACCCGCAGACCAAAAAAGTGTATGTATGACGGTGTGTTTTTTCACCTCCTAAGTTTCTGAGGGGCAACGTAAGGGGGGACCAGCTCAGGGGGGGGGGGGGGGGGAACATCGACCTGGACTCGGCGCGATACATCGCCGATGAATCTGCGATATGCCCCCGAGAGCGATTTCGCGCGCTCCTGGGCCGGGGTGCGGGGGCCGACGCGTCCACGCCTGAGCCTGTTCTCGCCTAGCGCTGCCCCGAGTTTCCCCTCTGGACCCACCTGCTGCACGGCTGGGAACTCCGGGGCCCCTGGCTGGAGCCGGCCGATCTCGTCCCCTGGCGCGCCGGAAGCAGTCACGGATAGATTGGCACGATGCTCAGCAGCACATGTCGTCCAAAACCAACATCGGCCGCGGCGACACCGACAACGAGTCCTGCTCAAAAGGGGCAGGATCTGCTGCGGATCTTCGTGTCGTGTGAATCCATTGCTAAAAAGCCGATGGGCCAATAACAGTACTAGCGTGGCCCAAGATCGCGAGAACCACATCTCCCGACGTCACGCACGTCACAGCAAGCAACAATGACTGAAACGCCGGCAGGGGGTCACCATTTCGAGGGAGAAACCATACATCTTTCGAAACCATACATCTTTCGCCGCTGGGAGCCGTCCCCTTTCCCCCTTGAGAGGACGGGGGTCTTTCCTTTGCAATCATGGGCCTAACATTACTGTTGTTTTCCATGCCCATCGTACTGAGAATCTAAAGGCCGAAGCCCCCCAGGTGGGGTCGGCGCAGACGGGGTCGGAAGATCGCGCCGCATCGTCGATTCACTGGCGATGCATCGGCGATGCTTCGGCGATACATCGGCGGTGTCGACGATGCATCGGCGACGCCGGCGTGGAGAAATCGGGCTCCACATCAAGCCGCATCGCCGATGCATCGCCGATGCATCGCCGATGCGGCACGATCCTCCGACCCCACATACTCAGACCCCATCTGAAGGCCTGAAGATCCTTAGCATGAAGGGACCGGGTCCTGGTGCACATGGGTCCTGGACCCCCGACCAGCTCCGCATGGTCCCGGGGGGCCGCGGAGGGCCCCCGCCGGGAGGCCAAAACCGCCGAAGAACTCGGGATCCGTCAGGGCCTGTGTTTCTAAGCAGGGACCGACCGTCCCGGCATTCCAACGGCACTCCAAGAAGCCTGACACGAGGTGTTCTTAGAACCAACTAAATGTTCGAAAACGCAGGCGATGCTCTTAAAGGAAAAGCTGTGCACAACAACAAGAACACCGCAGCCAGAAATTGCCGCACAAACCACAAAAGGTACTCAGAACAATCTTTGGTGAGCCTACAGGCTAGCCCGGGGAGCTTCGTCAGTGCTTGACTTTGCCTTTCACGGCGAGATCCCCACCCCGCCGACGGGGGGCCTCGCCGGCCCGCGCGACGGGGCGGAGGAGGCCCACCAGGCCGGCGGCCCAGGCCCCCAGGCGGCCACGGCGGCCAGGCCCAGCGCGCCCTGCCCAGCCGCCGCCGCCGCCGCCGTCGTCCGTCGCCACCGCGCCGCCACCGCCGACGCCGTCGCCGTCGTCGCATTCGTCGCCGCCGCCGCCGTCGTCGCCGCCGTCGCCGCTTCCCGTCGTCGCCGCCGTCGCCGCTTCCGCCGTTGTCGCCGTCGTCGCCGCCGCCGACGCCGCCGCCGTTGTCGTCGTCGCCGTCGTCGTCGTCGCCGCCATCGTCGCCGCCTGAGTGGTAGAAAGAAGTGGGTCTTCTGCGAGAAGGCATAGCGACCCTACGCCGCGGCTCGCGAGGGCCGCCAGCGTGGCAGACCGCGTGGAGAAGAGGGCGCTAACGCGCGACCTTACGCGGGAAACTTGCGCGCGAATGTCCGCGCAGCCCACAACCCGTCTCCTTCCGTCGCTCACTTTTGCCGCCGCCGTCGCATTTGTTGCCACCTTCGTTAAGGGAGCTGGTCCGGAGGTGAACGGGTCCTGGAGATTTATCGCGGCTTGCTGGCTCCCTCTCTCTGGAAGCCCTCCACGGGCCCCTGTCCAGGACCTGTGTCCCTCGGGACCCGTTTGCTTCTCGCCGCCGCTGTCGTCTTCCTGGGAACATCTGGGAGCTTCTCCACCCGTGCGTCGCCGCTGTCTTCCTCCCCAATCCTCCTCCCTCTCCTCCTCCTCCTCCTCCTCCTCCTCCTCCTCCTCCTCCTCCTCCTCCTCCTCCTTGCTCGTTGTTCCTTGCTACTCCCCCTCCTCCTTCATCCACACATACGTCGCTCCGTGCATCATCTCTCCTGATTGCTCCTTGCTCCTTGCTCCGCCTCCTCCTCTTCCAGCTCCCTCCCCCCGCTCCCTCTGCTGCCCCTCCTCCTCCTCCTCCTCCTCCTCCTCCTCAGCTCCTCCTCCTCACCTCCTCAGCTCCTCCTCCTCCTCCTCCTCCTCCTCCTCCTCCTCCTCCTCCTCCTCCTCCTCCTCCTCCCTCTTGCATTTTCCCCACTCCATCCCCCCCTCCCTCCTGCCTCTTCCCTCTTTCCCTCCATCCGATGGTCCATCTATCACCCCCACCCAGGTCCCTCCTTCCGTCACGCGTCTGCACGTGAAGTATTCCTCTCCTCCCGCTCCTCCTCCCTCAACCGCCGCTTCCCCCTACTTCCTTCACTCTCCTTCATCCCCTGCCTCCATCCGCAGGCTTCGACCGCAGGAGAGGCTCTTGCTGCAGGCCCTGGGGCGGGCGCCACGACGAAGCTCCTCCTCCTCCTCCGTCTGCTCAAAATTTGGAGTCCCGACACAGTGCGGTGACAGACCGTGCGGTGACCTCGGAACCCCAAGAGACCTCACCGCACGGTCCGTCACCGCACGGTCTTGGGACCCTGGAGGCCCCCTGTCGCCCGAGACATCCTCGGAGAGGGACTCGAGTCCCCAAACCGTGCGGTGACCCCAAAATCCCCACCGACTCACCGCACAGTGTGGTCACCACACTGTTTGGGGGCCCCCGACAGAAGGCAGGCGGCAGGAGAAATATAGGCAACAGTAGGCGGCGCGCCCTGGAGGAAGCGAGCAAGGGCGGGCCTTCTCAGGAGGCTCGGAAGTCCCCCGGCCTCACGAGAAGTCTCCCGGGCCTTCCCCGAGGGCGCAGCACGCCTCTCAGAAGGCGCGAGGGTTTCCAAGAAGTCCCGCGGCCTTCTGAGAGAGCCTCCTCCTTCTCGCCTCCCCTGACGGGCCTGTTTTCCACCACCACCACCACCACCACCACCACCACCACCACCACCATAAGTTGGAGGGGGAAGAGGAGGAGTAGGAGGAGGAGGAGGAGGGGGAGGAGGAGGAGGAGGAGGAGGAGGAGGAGGAGGAGGAGGAGGAAGACCCCCTCCCCCTCCAACGTATGGCGGTGGTGGAAAACAGCCCCTGGATCCCCCCCTCGCTCGCCGCCGAAACGAGTCCTCGGAGCAGGATCAGCCAGGTGGCGGGCACCGAGGGCCAAGCAGCACGAGGGGCAGGCGGGTGCAGCAGCAGCCGGAGACGGAGAGCGCGAGAACGGGCGGCCGCTCAGCCCGGTCCCTCCGCCTCCCTCCGTCCCCTTCTGGCTCCCTGCCTGCCTGCCTCGGGCACAGGCTGACATTCGAGGGGCCCAGGGAAACACACGCGCGCGCACACACAGAGCACATACACACACACACACACACACACACTCACGCACTCACAACTCACACACTCACACACACAGACACACCCGCACACTCACACACACACACTCACACACTCACACACAAATGCACACACACACACACTAATCCCAGGGTCCCCCCTGTATGCTTTAAGATGTTCTGGATGTTCGTGTTCCCCTCCACTTCCAATATTTTCCACGTTTTTTGGGGCATCGACACTTATTTGCGTCTCGTATCTTTTTCCCCCGCCTGAAACATGGGTTACGGATCCCTGGAGCAGGCGCGTGGGACACGGAGCCAGTGCCGACTGATTTGGCGCCAGAGCGCGCCGCTTCTGCATAGAAGCGTGATTTGTCGCCAATGTACGCGCCTCAAGGCCACACTTCCGCTTCCTCGCCCTCCTCTCTCCGCCCTTCCGTCCATCTCCCCCGCGCGGGCCTCCCACCGGCCCTCCTAAGACGAAGCCAGGACGAGGATAAATGCGGGTGGGCACACATCGAGAATCTCTGAGGCCTGGCGGCTCTGGAGATGCATCGGGCGCCGCAGCCTTCTCAGAGCGTTCCCAGAACGCCCTGAGAGCGCTCCGGAACGCTCTGGATCGGACTTGTCCTCGTCCTGGCCCCGCGCTACCCCCACTCCCCCAATCTGCTCACCCCTCCCTCCTGCGCGGGGAGGCGCGGCGGAGGCGACGGCGACGGCGACCACGGCGGCGACGCAGACTTGGCACACAGCTGGCGGCTCCCGAAGCCTGGCCCCGGACCCCGACGCGTCCCCTGGGCCCCTGGAGGCCCCCCAGAGGAGCCCGCGGGAGGACCTCCACGGCCCGCCTCCCTCGGGACCCAGTCCCTCGGCGAAGACGGCGTCGACGGCTACCAGCGGCGGCGTTGGCTGCGAGCCGCCCTGTGCGGGCTTTCGCCCTGTGCACTGTTGTTTGTTGAGCGTCTGGCACTCGCGAGCCTGCCTCGCAGAACGTCACTATACTGTGCGCCTCGTGGTCGTGCTTCGCTCCCCGACTGACGGCGACGACGTTGGCGGCGGCCGTGGCTTCCACGCCCCAAGTGGGTGTGGAAGAACGGATACGATGTCACACAACAAATGCTGTCCAAACTCGACAGCGGCCGCTATCGGCCAGGCGGCCGTCTGTCTTAAATGGACAACGCCGGCGGCCACACCGACAGCGAGTCCTGTTCAACATGAACAGGGAATGCTGTCTGACCCACCCCTGGGCCTGCCAATTTCCAGTGGGGGGACGTTCACAGTGGAACCCGCGCAAACCCCAACCCGAAATTTGGGGAAGCCTGGGACCTTCGGGTCGGGTTGGAGTGGTTTGGTAAGCAGCAACTTTCTGCGAGGCGGGGATAGATCCATATCCAACGCCTGGGGAACCAACGTCCTGGGACCCCACCGAGCGGTGGCTATGTACATGTTTTGGCCCCAGGGGTGCCGAACATATCCATATCCACCGCCTGCCGAAGTCCCCGAAGATCGATCCCCAAGGCGGTGGTCATGTGTAAATTCCTGCCTCGGACTTTCGGTCTTCGTGCCAATTCTTTCCGTACCCACTTTGTTCTTGCCGAGTGGTGGGGGCGACGACGGCATGGCCCCAGCCCACCACCGGCAAGTGGCGCGCCGACAAGCACCGCCGCGAACCGCCGCGGCGGGCGGGCGCCGGAGGCGGGCCAGCCGCGGACGGGCAAGCGCCCATGGCGGCCGCGCGCCCCCCGCGGTTGGCACCGCAGGGGGGCCTCGGGTGGTGCTGGAGATGTCCCTGGCCAAAGAGGTGTTCGCATTCGCTGGCGGAGAAGAGACAATATCAACGCCGGCCAGCTGAGGAGGGAGCATCGGGCCTTCCGGCGCAAATATGAACGGGATAACACGCCGAGGGGCTCCCCAGGGCAGCGTGCCATTGCTTGACCCCTCCTGGCGCTCTCTATTTCTCTCTCCCTCGTTTTAGTGTTATCTCTCTCTCTCTGTCTCTCTCACTCTCTCTTTCTGTATCACTACTCTTTCTCTTTTTCCCAACCATCCTGTGGTGTTGCTTCCTCGTTTTGAAGAGACGCTCCCGCATTCACTCCTCCTCCCGCTGCCCCCTCCCTCCTCCTTTCACCCCCTCCCTCACTTTGACACATCCCTCACGCGCTTCGTGGCCCCATAGGGAGCCCCACCGAAGGCCGAAATGCCAGCGTTCGCATGCGGCCACGTTACCCATTTTGGCACGCCCCTCACACGCTTCATGGCCCCATAGGGAGCCCCCACCAAAGGCCCAAATGCCAGCGTTCGCGCGCGGCCACTGCACCCATTTTGGCACATTCCTCACACGCTTCGTGGCCCCAGGGAACCCCACCAAAGGCCCAAATGCCAGCGTTCGCGCGCGGCCACCGCACCCATTTTGGCACACCCCTCACACGTTTCGTGGCCCCATGGGGAACCCCACCGAAGGCCCAAACGCCAGCGTTCGCAAATGGCCACCGCACCCATTTTTGGCACACAAAGCCCCTCTCAAGGGACGCTACGACGCTTTCGACAGTTTTATGTTTGACTGTCCTGGGGGTCTCCAGCTGGCAGGCAGGGATCCGCCACGAGATCTTGGTCAGAACGCGCTCCAGAACATCCCATTGATTCGCTTTGCCTCCTCATCCTCCTCCTCCTCCTCCTCCTCTTCATCGCCCCGCCCTCGTGTTCCCGCTGCTCCCCCTTCTCCTCGCATTTGCTCCCCCGCCATTTCTTCTGGGAGCGACTTGGCGGGAATGGCCGTGGGGTTTCGTGGTCACTTGCCTTTGGGTCGTCCGCGGAGTCGCGGGGTGGTTCGGGGGTCGCGTTTGGATCGCTGGGTCGTCTCGGTTGTCTTCTGGAATCGCGGGGTCGTACTGGGGCGCCTTGTACATGGGACAAGCCCCGCTTTGGCCCCTTACCAGAGGCAGCCTGCTGAAAAAGTTTGGGCTCGGAGCAGCGAGGCCCGGCATTGGAAACCAGCGCGGGCCAGAATGGCCCTCCGAATCAAACGCGAGCAGGCGCGACGCTACAACGGCGCTTCGGGGGATGTTCCGCAGTAGCGTTCAGAGGGAGGGCCAGACATGCAACACTGTGCCGACAGAATGCGCTAACGCGCGATGTCTCTTGAGGCAATACTGGCGTCTTCGGGTCATATATTTAAATAAGGGGCATCTTCGAGTCATGGTGCAAAACAGGCCGCGCGAAACACTTGAAAAATGGCTGGAGCCAATGCAGGTTTGGAACAAAGCAGAACGCGCGCAGGACGGCAAATATTCCGGCTCCCTTCGGCACCCATTTTCGCGAACGCCCTGGGTGAAATGTTTAGCCCCTTCGGGCCTTGAGCGCGCGCCTAGATCCGCCCTGTTGGCTTCGCGCTGTGCGCGAGCCCCCACCCAAACAAAATTAACGGCACACCGCCACTCATGATTTACATTCATGGTCCCGTTATCTTGGGATTTCAGGGTCGTCGTGGGATCGTCATGGGTCGTCCTCGAATGGTCCGTGGGTCTTGTTCGGGTCGCGAGGTGGTATTGGAATCGTATTGGGGTGTTATTGTCGATTCGGGGATATCCACGCAGTCGGGGTCAACTTGGGATCATACCACCGGTTTCATCTCAGGGGACATCTTGGGGCCATCTCGGGGCCGTGGGGTCGCATTGGCGCCCAGGGCGAGGGCGAGACAAATATTCTTAGAAATGGGATAACCGAAAAGCAGGTTCTAATTCCGGTGTCAGTCCCGGGTCTGGATTCGGCTACGGGTCCGGCACTGGAACTGGAACTGGAACTGGAACTGTTCCGATTCTGGTTCTGGTTCCAGTTCCGGTTCTGGATTCGGCTCCGGGTCCGAACTGGTTCCGGTTCTGGTTCCGGTTCTGGACTCCAGGCCTGGCACTGGAACTGGAACTGGAACTGGTTCCGGTTCTGGTTCCGCCTCCGGTTCTGGTTCTCGATTCGGCTCCGGTTCCGGTTCCAGTTCGGAACTGGAACTGTTCCGGTTCCGTTTCGGCTGGGGTGCATAATGCATCCCGCCCAATGTTCCCATCGACGGCAGTGCCGTCGCACAAGTCTCACTCTACCTCTCTCTCCCTCTCTCTTTCTATCCCTCATTACACATATTACCTCTGGTTATCTCTATTTATCTCTCTCAATATATAAACATATATATATATATATATATATATATATATATATATACACATACATGCAAACATACAGGTATGTATATATATGTATATATACATGTATATATAAAATACATATACATATCTGCATATGTAGATATATCCCCAAACTTTGCTGTGGATAAAGCCTCGGTCAGACAGGAGCGAGTGGAGTGAGACGACGGGAAAGGGGCGACGGCGGGGAGGGAGAGGGCGCGCGACCACGCAGAGTTTGTGGTTGCACAAGTTCCTTATTGATGACATTCTGCGAAGCCTGGCAACACGCGAGTGCTTCCAAGAGCCGAGCTAATTTTGTAATTTACAACACTGCGAAAGGGAACAACTACAATACGACCACCTTTCGGGTTTCGGCTGGTAAAAAGGTGCGATGGGGGGCGGAACCAAAATCGATTGATCGCACAGACTACTCGCTCGATCGATTTCACGATCGATCTCACAATCGATCATTATTGAATCTCCTTTTCTGTCCAAAATTAGCTCTACCCCCCCACCCCCCGAGATTATCGACACCCCGCTCCGCATTGCAATTTGCAAATGATTCTGCCCTATCGTCCATTTGAAATATGAACTCGTACCATCCCAGCCGGGCCGGTATCGCACCCCCGCGTCATCCTTTGCAAAAGAACACTGCACGTGCACTCGTTCATCAAGAACCGTAATTTTTCAAAATTCCATTTTTGCAGAAATTATGACGACGTGCGCACGCCCGCGCCGTCGCACGCGCATGCCGAAATCTTTCAGAAACCGTCCGTTTCGTACCGATTTCAAATTCGAGCGTCCACGAAACGTATAAAACACAAGGGTTCGCAACACGGGTTTCCAACACAACCATGTGCGCGCGCTCTTGCGAATTCTTGAGAAAACCATGGGTTCTTCAACATTTCCAGAAACCAAATGGGCGTCGCGCGCGTCTGTCGCATTCGTCCGAACGTCCTTGCGCGCGTGCCGTCGCGAGAACCCTTTGCACAAAAAATGCACGCGCGCGCGTCGCCGCGCGCGCATGCCGAAATATGTCAAAACAACTTCGGCGTCGTAGCGGTGTCACAGCCGAATGTCCCCAATAACACAGAAAACACATCCTTTCGCAACAGCACTTTTCAAAAAAACGTGCGCTCGCCCTCTTGCGAATTCTTGAAAAAAAAACCATCAGTGGTTCGACATGGTCAACGCATTCTGCCAAACGGGCCTCTCGCGCCGCGTGCCGACATCATTCGCGCGCCCTTGCGCGCGTGCTGTGTGTGTGTGGGGGGGGGGCACGATTCGTGTCAAAGAAGACCATGCGGGCCATTCTCGCGCGTCGGCCGCGCGCGCATGCCGAACTGTGTCCAAAACCTTCATCACCCACTCGAGGACGCCGTCATCGTCGTCGGAGCGATCAGCATCGACGCCCGCACTGGCCGCGCTTTCGTCGTTGCCAACATCGTCACCAGCATCGCTACTATCATAATCGCGTGTACCGGTGTCGACGTTGCCATGATACCCCGGCCGCCCAACTCGCCGACTCTCGCAGAAGTTCCCGCTGGGATGTGCCCAGCGGTCAGCGCCACCGCGGCCGCGTCGGTCGCGCACAACTATCTGGCCGCTGCGCGCGCGTGCTTGAGTTGGCGCGGCCGCAGAGATGCACCAGCCAACGCCAAGCATGCATCGCAATCGCCACCGCATGGTTTTGTGAACCAAGTCGCGGGTGGGAGGGTGGGATGTTTGCAAGACGTGGGATGTGTCAACTCGTTTGTTAGAACCAATCACTACCGATCTCACCGATCGATCTCACTATCGATCTCACGATCGATTAAAACATCGATCCGACGATCGTTCCCACTATAGATCGCACTATCGATCGCACGATCGATCCCGCTATCGATCGCACTATCGCTCTCACCGTCGATCTCACAGTATTGGTCGTACTATCGATCTCTCTATCGATCGCACTATCGCTCTCACTACGGGACACCGACAAGACACCGACGGGACAACGACGGGACACTGATGGGACACCGACGGGCCACCGACGGGACACCACGGCGGGACAACGACGGCCACCGCCGCCAGTTTGGAGTCCCGAAACAGTGCGGTGACAGACCGTGCGGTGACCTCAAAATCCCGCAAGACATCACCGCACGGTCCGTCGCCGCACGGTTTTGGGACCCCGGAGATCCCTGTCGCCCGAGACGTCCTCGGAGAAACGGCCCGAGTCCCAAAACCGTGCGGTGACCCCGAACCCCAACCGACTCACCGCACGGTGTGGTCACCGCACCGTTTGGGGGCCCCCGAGCCCAATGTGGAGGGGGCGGATTTTTGGCCCGGCGGTGCCCTGGCCAGAGGAGGGTGCAATCCTCTCGCCCGCACACGCAGCTTCGCCTCGCCCGTACGCACGACACGACCACGAAACCGACACCGATTTCCGGTGGGGCGCTCTCCGTTTCACTGCGATCTCACCCCTCACCTCCGATACTATGTACTAGTACTAATAAGTTCGAATCGACTCCCCCTTTCCACCTCTCCCCGTTCCCTGTCCTCCGACCCCCCTCTGTGTCCTCCTCATCCTCTGCACCATCGAAGTCGCTCGTGCTGGCACTCGGCACAACACGCCAGCGCGAAGAAGCGGCGTCGCCTCCGTCGCCGCCGTCGTTCTCCCATCCATCGATAAACGTATTCTTGACCTTGAGCTCCTTGCGTGCCTTTGGGATGGGGGGCGGAAGAGGAAGGAGGGAGGAGAATGGGCAGGAGGATCCGCAACACGCGAAGGGAAGAGCCGGAGTAATGGGCAGAACGAGAAGTAGAATGAGGAGGATCGGACGCGTGGAATCCTGGGGCCGCCTCGATGCAACTGTGGTACCGCCGAGCGCCGTGAACCACGGCAGAATTCTGCGGGAACCAGGAGTAATAGTAGGATGTAAGCGCAATAGCAAAAGGCAGGAGGATGACGGGCGAGGGGAGAAGGAGGGAGGAGGGAGGGAACAAGAGGGATAAGTATCACCATGACCATGACTGGCCGACGCCGTCATGGGCCCAGGATTGTGTGTGGACCTTCCTGGCCTCCGGGCCTCGGCCACGAGGGCGTACACACCATGCTGGGTTCCAGGAGGGCCCTGGCCAGACACGGCGGTGGTGTTATGGATGCCTTCCGTGCAGAGTAGGCCGAACACAGGTGCGGCGGCTTTCCGAACTGCCCTGTCAACCACCTCGTCACGAGAGGCACCGGCAGCAATCGTAGTGGAGAGGGGGTGGCGGGACACGTCGTTCCCCCTCCTACTACTCCTTGTCCTCCACCTCCTCCTGGTCCATCATGCTCCCCTTTCTCATCCCTCCCCTCGTCGACCTCCTTGTCCTCCCTCCTCGTTCTCAGAAGGCATGCCCCCTCTCACTTCCTACCCGGGCGTGCCGCCGAGCACTTGCTCGCCACTCGGAGTTGGGACGCACAAGGGCATACTGTGTGACATACTAGCAATATGTGTCTTCTTTGGAGGCGTGCGGTCCGAACATTTTGTACGGCCATCTTGTAGTACATCGCTTCCCGAGTGGTGTGGCCAGAAAACGCCCGCCACTGAAAATGTATGACCAGATCTCTCAGCGGGCGTCGTTTTTTGGGGGGGGCGACGCACAAGTAGTATGTTTTACCAGCGCGTGCAAGGGGGGTAGGGGGATGGGGGGAGGAGTCTTAAAAAGAGGCTGCTTCTTCGAAGGCGCGGGTCCTACATCCATGGATAAGGCCCGCGCCCTCGAAGAAGTAGGGTGGTGCTTCTAAGAAGCCTCCCCCCCCTCCCTGCGCGCGCGTGGCTGAATTGCATGTCAATGCGCTTGGGTGGCGCCGAGGCGTGGCCACCGCCCCCCCCCCCGAGGAGCCCCCGGCGGCCCGCCGGCCGGCGGGGCCCCGCGGGCGCAGCGCGGCCGGCCTCCTTCTTGAAGAGGTGAAGCCGCCGGTCCTCTGCCCGGCGGCTCGGGCGGGGGGGGGCTCGAGGGCAACTCGCGGGAGCCGCCCACGCCATCGGCGCTCATCGGCGCTTCCTCGGCGCGCTTTCTCATCGGTTGCCAGGTGCTCGCGCGCGCTGGTGCGCGAGGAGGATCCCATGATTTGCTGCCGAAAGGGGGCGGCTCGGGGGCGGGCGGGGGTCTCGGCGTCAGATTTCGCAACGAGTTCGGCGACTTCATAACCCTTCCACCGCCACCCATCGAGTTGCCTGGATCTTTAATCGGCGAGGGTAGGGTTCGGAATGCGCCGCCGAACTTTCGGGCCGCGGGACCCTCACATATCAATACGGCTGCGAAAACGACGAAGACAGATGGGGTCTGGGGCCCCGGTCGTTAAATGTGTTAGCGATATTGCAACTTCTTCGCGTCGTCGGATCTCAGGATTGGGCTAGCACCACCTCGCCTCCCGCTCCGAGAGGAGGAGCAGGTAGGAGGCAGAGTTCAAGGATTGAGTCAGCTGCATCACGCTGTTCTCTCGATGAAATAGAACGGGCAGCCTAGGGGCGTAGGCCGTACGATAAGAAAATTATTGAGAAGAGAAAACACTTAATAGTAATACGAATGGATTATAAAAACATGTTAATCCTAACGATCCGGAAACCCATGATAATAAGACCAATCCCAGAAATCACATTTATAATAATCAGCCAAGCAATCCTAATATAAAGACGACGAATGATGCTACGATTCGGAATAATAAAAAACAAACTAAACACAATCAGCATAATAATACGAGAAATAATAAACATTGAAGCAGGAGGAGGAGGACTTGAAGGAGGAGGGAAGGCAAATTAACAGCCGCAGCTGCAACAGGAGGCTGTGGACGCGAACCTCTGTAAATACCAAGACGGGCTGCCCGTCCAAATCGAGGGCGCTGTTGCAGGCATCTAGAGGGAACTCTCAGGAAGCCTACTTCAAAAAACGATGATCTGAACTACTGGGCGAAATTACAAGCCCGCCAAGCCGGATTAGGCCAGAGTGAACTCGTGCCTGCTTCCGACTAAAGCTGCATTAGCGCCGGCTCTGATATGTTAACCTTCCACGAATTGCCGCATGGCTTACGCGCCCCAATTTTGACACGCCCCTGACGGCCCTAGCCTCAAGGCCCGCGTGGCGGCGTCGCCAATTTCGACACACCCATGTGGCTCCAGAGGGAGCTCCACCTGCGGCCCCAGTGGCAGGGTCCACATGGTGGCGCCGCCCGTTTCAGCGCATTCCTCATCAGGATCGTAGCATAATAAAGAGCGCCCCATTAGGTGAGCCCCAGGAAGGTCCCCAACACGAGCATCTGAAGCAAATCTTTTCCAAATCCGACCGACAGCGCCCGCTGTTAGGCAGGCGGTTGTTTATCTGTTTGCGGCGACGCCGGCAACGCTTCCTGTTCAAAATCTGCATTTCGAACGTACCGAAATATGGGGCCTCAAGAAATCACCAAAGCCCGGCTTTCCATCCCGAATCGCTCATGACATCCCTGGGGCCGCTGGGGCCCCCACTGGCCGGGAACACCGGAACACCTCCAAATGGAGTGTTTCCACGCGCCAGATGTCTGGGAACCTCCTCCTCCTCCTCCTCCTCCTCGAGGGCGAGAATGATGTCATGATGCGCTTGGCTCAAGATACAGTCCAGGATCTCCGGAGGATCGAGCGGCCCTCGCTGTCGGAACCCGTGCGAAGCCTAGGGGAACCTGGGAAGTCCTTGGCACCCTGGAAATTTTAGAACGCATTTTGCGGGTCGCACGAAAGGGGGGGATAGCAAAAGGGGTGTTGGCGAATGAGGCGCCCATGTATCGAGAAATGGGCCTGGCGGCGGGGCCGAAACCAGCTGCATGCCACTGCATGCAGCAGATGTCGTAACCCTCTCTTTCCCTATCCCCCCTTTCGTTCGGCCCGGATCATTATCATGACCTCTTGCTCCTCTGATGGATGTCTGGGAGCCTCAAAGATTCGGTCATGCGGACGAGTTCACATCGAAGGGCCGATGCCCTCGAGCACCCCCCTTCCGCGACCTGAGGGGGGAGGGCAAACGAGTCTGGGGACCTCTTCCTCCTCCTCCTCCTCCTGCTCCTCCTCCTCGGCGGCTCCTCGCCGAAGCCGTAGCTCTCGCACTTAAGGGCCTTGTTCTGGTCCGCGAGCCTGCCGGCGCGCCGCACGGGAGGCTTCGAGAATGCATGCTCGTGCTCTGTTTCTTCTTATTATTATGAAAACCAGTATCACTACTAGTAGTAGTATGATTCGCAGTATTACTCGCATCATTGTTGAAACTGCTATGATTCGTAATATGATTGTTGTCATTATCAATACGATGAATAGTTTAGTATTATTATTAATAATACTACTAATATTAATGCTCCCCCTCCGGTCTTCTCCCTCCATGCTCCCTCCTCCTCCTCCACCTCCTCCTCCTCCTCCTCCTCCTCCCTCCTCCTCCTCCTCCTCCTCCTCCTCCCTCCTCCTCCTCCTCCTCCCTCCCTCTCCTCCCTCCTCCTCCCTCCTCCTCCCTCCTCCTCCCTCCTCCTCCTCCTCATCCTCTCCTCCTCCTCCTCCTCCTCCTCCTCCTCCTCCTCCTCCTCCTCCTCCTCCTCCTCCCTCCTTCTCCTCCTTCCCCTGGCACCTGACACCTGATGGCTGCATAGCTGTCTGACGAAGCCTCCTCCTCCTCCTCCTCCTCCTCCTTCTCCTGTTCCTCCCCCCTCCCTGCATCCCGCCCCCTGCCCCTCTGGAGGGAGCAGCGGAGAGAAAGGGGGAAAGCCCGACGCATCCCGGACGCGCCGTGGGCTCCTCTCGCTCCGCGGGGCCGCACGGCCGGAGCGCGCAGGAGCCTGTGCGTGTGGGCCCTCCTGGGCGCCCGCGGGAGGCCGCTCGGGGGGCCTCTCGGGGGCATCTCGGGGCTTCCTGTGGGCCTGTTGGCGGGCTTGTTGAGGCGTCTCGGGGGTGCTGCTTGGGCCGCCTGGAGCCGTCGGAGACCGTCTTGAGGCCCCTCTGGGCCGTCGTGATGCCCCATTGGGGCCTCCAAGGGCCGCTCGCGGGCCCTCCTGGGACGCATTGAGGCCCACTCTGGCCAGTTTGGGGCTGTGTTGGAGGGACTATTGGGCCGTCCTGGGACCGTCCACGTCTTGGCGCGTTGGGAGCACGATGGGGTTGACAACGCGAACGTGCGTCAACAACAACACAGAACACACAGGCTGGTTGGTCTTGGAGGCTTCATTATAATCCTATTGGAGACCTCTTGGGCCGTGCTGAAAGCCTCTTGGACCAACCTGAAACCTCTTGGACCGTGCTGGGGGCATCTCAAGCCGTTTTGGAACCATATCGGGCCAGGTCACCGCCTCCAAAAACGTTTCGATGCGCTCTCCGACCCTCAAGAAGCCCAAGAAGCCACAAACATTGTTTCGTGAGGCGCTTGTGCGCTTCTGAACCCGCAATACAAAAATATTCGCCGTGTTTGGGTCGGTGGATGCGGCATGGCTCCAATGGGGGGGTATGGAGGAGGCTACAAGACAAATGCAAAGTCCACCTGGGTGTGATGTGATGATTGGACACACGGAATATGTTGCATGAGGGCTTTCAAAGCATGCCTCCGGCAACGCGTTCGTTCTGGACGTGGGACTCGCGCGTGGACGGCAAATCCATGGATCGGGCAAAGCACCCTTGAACCATGAAACCGATGTCGCCTGATTTGGCAGCGGAACGCCATGGAAATGGGACCCGTCGCTCAGAATGTTTGTTTGTAATTTCGCAGTGTCGGCCGTTATCAGCCCCGCCCCCTCTGGATCGGCACGGACAGCTGAGCACACCGTGTCCTCCTATCGTCGCCGCCGTCCTCCTCATTGCATTTTATGGTGTCTCTCGCAAGAAAAAAACATTAAAAAAACACGGGAATCGAAATGGAGGGGGGGACGAGGCAGGCGGGGCCGGGTCGAAACGACACGTTTGATTCCAATGTTGCTGTCGCTTCGCACTCTGGAAGAATCTGGGCCCGAAGGGGGAAATGACGTCGCCGTCTTCTTGATCCTCTGCCTCATGCTCCTGTCGTTGTCGTCCTATTCCTACTTGTCGCGTTGCACAATGCTTCGCTGCGCCAGAAACGTGCGCGCCACATCGTTGGGCTGTGCATGAGGCGTGCGGAATGGCGTTAAACCCATGATATACACGTGGGCCACGTCCAGCTCAACCTTACCAGCAGCCCACTGCGTCATATTTCTGAATGATCGGATACGATCGAAAATATCGGGCCGGGTGTCTTCAGCAACCCAAAAGCTTGGAAACACACGCACGCGGTTGGCATCACATGCGGAAAACGGGGGGACCAGTTGCTACACAAACGTTCTGATGGTTGGCGTAAGCCACGCGAAGGCCAAACCCTGGCAAGACACGAGGCCACATGTGCATCCAGCTCTCGCCCAGACTGGTGACGTCATGTGTAGGAGGTTCCCCACCCGTCCGTAGTTTCAGAGCTATGCGATCTGTCATCCGCATGTGGTGTGAAACCCAATCGTGAGCGGCGGTGGCCAGCAACGGCAGCGAACGAACCACGACAACTGAAACTGAACAATTTGCCGCTCAAGGCTGCGCAGGCGGCCCGCTGCGAGCTAGGGCGGGAAGTCGAGCACCAGAGAGACAGGGCGGGAGGCTTGAGCGAAATAGAACGGACTCGGTGCTGCACCCCCTACACGTTCGCAGGATAAGTCGGAGGTTCCCCACCCGTCCGTATTTTCAGAGCTATGCTATCTGTCATCCGCACGTAGCGCGAAACCGCATCGTGAGCGGCGGTGGCCAGCAGCGGTAGCGAACGAATCGCGACAACTGAAACTGCATAATTTGCCAGACCTCGATCGCTAATAACTCGCACTCGGCTCTACGGAGACCGTCAACTGTTGGGATTGGGAGAGCGAAAGGGGAGCAGGTGGAGGTTCTGCCTAAAGACGCGGTCAAAAGCGGCATCCACACAGACATCGGCCATGGCATTACACAGAACTTGAGGGCATGCGGAGGCGCGAGCAGTCCAGCGCGCGCCGAGGCCATCACGGCCCTGAAGAATCTGGTGTTTCCTATTAGAAAACGTGCACACCCCTCGGGTCGGGCAGCACAGCTTGGAAAAATCCACGGCCCCAGGCGAAACAACAACAAAAACATTATTTGTAGAAAAAAACCTGGTCGGTTTGCACCGCGGCGCCCCCCAGCCACAGCAATTGGCAACCACGTCTTGCACTCCAGACCAACGTGAGACACGACGGGCGGAGTCGACGACCCACGCGTAGGATGACTGCGGGTTCTCCCAACGAAAAGGAACGCACATCTGTTGACACGCTTTAAGCATCTTAATAGACACCTGTAGTATTCTATGGAGGGACTCTCGCAAGGGACGACCGCAAGAAGCCCAAGACACTTGTCGCTCCTAATCATTCGAACAACGCGTTTCAAGACAGTGGGCCTCAGGAGATCACCCCGAGGGCCTTGCAACACATCAAACGAGAACACCGAGAACCCGCGCTTTCTCAAGGCCTTCGAAAAGTGCTCAGAACCCGAGAACACCTCAATGAAAAAGAACTGCCCCGTCTTGGCGCGGGATCGCATCAGGCGCAGCCTCTCGCTCAGGCGGCGGTCAGCGGCGCGGGCAGCTCGATCTCCGCGCGCACCGCGTAGTTGTCCGCGCGAGTGGTCATCTGTGCCCATACCACCTGCAGCAGCCCGCGTGTCTGGTAGCGGCAGACCGATGCAGGCTGCCTCCACTGCCTCCACCTGTCCCGGTGCTGGACATCGAGCAGCGGGATTCCCTCCGTGGGCGCGACGATCGAGGCCCCACTGTGTCGCACCATGTACAGCACGCTTCGTGCTCCCGCGGGGCCTGAAGGCTTGTCGGCACCGTTGAAAGTCTTCTTGGCCTGGCGCATCGTGGAATCTCAGAGCGGCCCCGTCGGGTCGCCAAGGCTTCGTCGAACGATCAGCGAGGCCACCCAAGGACGGGCAATGTTGACGGCCTCGTCGGTCTCGTTTGTCTTGCTGAGCTTCTGTAGGCTGCCTGCGTTGCTGTGGTCCGTCACCCTCTGCATCTTCGCCTGTGGCGGACACCCCTGGCCCTTGGTCAATGTCAGTGCTTTGCCAGACCTGAGGTTGGTGTCCACCATCATCAGCCAGTACAGCGCCACTTGCAGCTTGCCCCAGATCTGCCAGGGACCCCCCGCGATGCCCATCCAGGCAGCCCACGGCAGCGGGCAGCGGGTTCGCGAAGGTCGCAGTAGTCGCAAGCGGCGCCGCCCGCGGCGCGCGAGAAGAAGCGCCAGGCGGCCCTTGCTCTGGTAGTCGGGCACGTGCAAGGCCACGGTGGCGATGGGTCTCAGCCGCGGCCTTGCCGGTGGCGCCCCTGGCGAGCGGTCGCCCGTCGGGCGCTCCGCTCTCGCGAGCGTCGCCCCCCGGGCGGCCCCGACCCGCGACCGTGCAAGGCGAGCCGCCAGCGCTGACACAACGCGCACAGGTCGCGGTGGCGGTAGGGGGCCCAAGTCCAGGGGGGGGCCCGGCCAGCCCGCAAGTCGCCGCAGGTGGCGCGGCGCGGCCGCTGCTGTCGGCCCTGCGAGGCAAGCTCTCGCCAGTCCGCAGCAGCTGCGCGGCGTCCGTCAGCGCGCTCGCGGGCCATGCTGGCGCCATCGGCACTGTTCAGCTCGCTCGGCACCCATCGTCTACAGATACGGGCGCCCGTGGCCAGGGTGAGGGCGGCCCCTCGAGGAATAATATTGAGCAAGCCTATATCGCGGCAACGACCTCTGGAAAGTGCAAGCGCAAGTGCCAGATTATCTCCCGAGACCGCATGTCTCTTCCCCCGTGAATCCGCGTCCGAAAGGGTCAGCTTGACGGCGCCCAGATCTCCTCTTGCCTCTTTTCGATGCATGGGCTCTTTCCTGAACAGGGGGGCGCAGCGCAGCAGCTTCCAGCTGGCACTGCGGAGGACGCGCGCAGGCGCCTCAGGGCAGTTTTTCTCAGACTCACCCCTCAACGCTGCGAGCGACGGCCCGCCGTCTAGAAGCGCGTCCTCGGCCGCGCGTGCCGCGCGGTCGCGCGGCCGCCAGCTGCCGCCCTCCTCGCAGGTGCGGCGGAAGCGCCATCTCTGGTGCCAGCGGCCAACAGCAGTCACGTCGTCTGTCATCCAGTCGGCGACCATCGACGCGCGCCCCGCCTCGCAAGCATCGGCCACGACGACCTGCGACGACCGGGGGGCGTCGAGCTGGGCGCGCAGTGTGATCGACACCCCGCGGAAGATCCTGAGCTCCTTCCGCGCGGACGCCCATAGTGGCCGCGCGCGCTGGTAGCCCTGCTGCACGAACGCGTGCACAGCGCCGAAGCAGCTGAGGCTCTCACGGCGGCAGAGGGCCGCGAAGGTGCAGTGACCGAGGACGTGCTCAATGTCGCGGCGGGTCGCCCTGGGGCGGCGCTGAACCAGCTAGCCAAGACCCAGATGGAGCTCCCAGAAGCGCTTCGCGGCCAGTGTGGCACGGGCGGGCCGCCCTTCCAGCTGCCCGCCCAGCGTCGCCGTGGACTCCGAGGCGTCGGTCTCGTCGTGCACGGCGAGCCCAGCCGCCTCCAGAGCCTCCGAAGCCAACTGCCTGCGGAATCGACCGCGCGCAGCTCAGGCCTGAGGGCGCGGCAGCTGTCCAGCGTGCGCTCGTGGGCCTGCCGGGCGAAGTAGGGCGCCCAGCTCCAGCCCGTCGGCGCGACCGCCAGCAGCGGGTGCAGACGCGCCCACGGCGCCGCGCGGCGCCCGCCCAGCCTGCCGACGCCCTGCTCGCCGGCAGCGACCGCGGGCAGGCAGAAGAGCGCCCGCAGGCAGGCGGGCAGCGTGCGCTGGTAGAAAGCGTTCTGGATGTCACCCCCCGCGAAGTAGAGCGAGGCCCCCATTGGGCACCTCCATATCCGCGGAGCCCGCGGCGGAGAAGAGGTTGACTGGCGGAGGAAGCTGAAAACGTTGATTGCTCCTCCGACAGTCAAGCGCCATCCTGATACGGCCATCCTTCTTGGCCACGAAGAACACCCCGACGTCCTCAAACCTGGACTTGCCCGAGACGAAGACGCCTCTGGAGATCCCTGACTTCGCAAATTCTAAGTGCATCGCGCGGTTCCTCTCGAGCACAGGGTCCATATACAACGAAGGCACCCCGCCCACCTCTACGGCTACGGCTGCGTCGAAGCTCGGCGACGGCAGCAGCAAGGCGTGGTTGAGGTCGAAGAGCGAGCGTCGGTCGCCAGGCCCGAGTCGGTCAGCAAGCCAGCCAGGCCAGTTCCCAAGAGTGGGCCAGCTCACGAGGCGCGGCGCATACGGCCTCAGCGGTAAGTCGCATGACGTGTCGTAGTGCAGACGCGGGCGGCCCAAAAGCTCTGAGCAGGCTTCCTGGGCCGACGCGCCCGCCGGGGCCTCCATCTGACGATGAAGACGGCGGGCGCAGCGAAGCAAAACATCGCCCATATCCGAGAGGCGCTCTGGCGCGCACCGCGGCGCACTGTCGCCCCCAAACAGATTGAGGCACTCCACGGTGCCCCAAGCACGCTCCTCAATGGACTGAGCACGGTGAAAGCGCGCCCGAACCGAACGGGAAAAAATCCAGGCGGAGGTGGAGGAGCAACTGGCGCGGCAGGTACAGCAAAGGGCAGCATCCCGTCGCCAAGATGGCGGCCATCAGCAGGCCGACAAGACTGGCTCTCGCGATGCGGCAGACGGGTCGAGCTACCTCCCGCCCGCTGACTTCAGTTCACCCCTGTCTCTTCAGGACTGAGGAGGCGCTCCTCTCCTGGGTAGTCGAAGCCAATCTGGCGCCAATCTGGCAGGCCCAATCTGGCAAACAGGGGCAATCTGGCGAGGGGGCCAACGCGAATCCAGTCTGGCGAATAACCCAAATCATCCAGTTTGGCCAGGCCAGATTGGCCCTTGGGGCCCAATCCAATCTGACAGTCTGGCCTTCGACTACCCAGCTCTCTTCGTGCGCCCTCCTCCTGTGCTTCTGGGTCTCGGACTCCTTGGCGCGCTGCTCGGTCGCGCGCTTGGCCAAGCCTGTCGCGACCGCGACCCCGCGGCGGGCACTCTGCTTCAGGCGGCCGAAATAGAGCTCGGCCCCCTCGATCTTCATGCTGGTTATGGTCTCCTCGTCGAGCCTGTGCGGCACTGCATCCATCTCCACGCAGGCCAGGTCTGAGCCGTCGACCTGATCGTAGGTCTGCGCGAACTCATCCGCGAGTCAGAGGAGGTCGTGAGAATGACCCGCCGCGGAGTCCCCCGTGCAGCCGCTCTTGCTCATCCACTTGGTCTGGCGGCCATCGCGAGCCCCGCCGTGCTCGCCCCTTCGCCTGGCCGAACGGGAGGGACAAGGCAAACCAGCCCCATGGGCGCGATGACGCCAGACGGCAGACCGTGAAAACTGCTCTCACCCCAGGCGGCGTCGCCCGCTGGTCGCCGAGAGAAGCTGGGCACCTCGTGGCCGTGGCAAAGCCCTCCCGCACCCCGCCGTTCCGCGCGCGCCTGGACGGCTCGGCGACGCCCGCCACCGCGGCGCGCGCCTCGCGCCGAGCAGCTCGCGCCATATCCAGCAGCTTGGGTTCCGAAGGGCAGGCGCGGAAGCGGTGGGCGCAGTTTGAGGGCCGCTGCCGAGCAGGGGCGGCGCCGAGGGTCAGTGACGCCTTATCAGGGCCGTCCCCGTCCGCGCCGCTAGCCCTCTCCTCGTCGGAACTGCCTCAGTCGGGCGTGAGGCGGGTCCACCGCTTCGCAAGCCATTCCGGATCTGCCGGCCAGGTCAGCTCGCGCCCGTGCCAGATGCCGCGGCCGTCGTTATACGGAGGTCTCGCAACTGCGTTACATGTGGGAGTGACGCTTTAGGACGGGTGGTTCATCAAAGCGTCCTCATGCGCGGGGACCGCGACCTTCAGGCCACCAGGAAACAAACACCACCGACGCTGCTGCCGCTGCGCGGCAGTAGCGGAGAGGACGCCGGCGGCCATGTTGCGCGGACCACCGTGTGGGTTTGGAGACCAATTTGTGGGGAGCTCGGAGCCCAACCACTATTTTTGCAGTTGCTACCAAAAGCAAATGTGGAAAGACCGAGTCACCTACGAAATCCCCTGGTTGGAAGTAAAGGTGCATGCCCCGAACACTTTGGGGCCCGTGTTCGACGGGAGGGCGAAGCAGAAGGCGATGGAGGCTGGGGCCCCCGCGGTGGAGGTAACCACAAGTGCGAATTTCAAGACGGGATGGACGAGCAGGGGGAGAGCGCGAGCCCTATCGCAGTGGCGTTGGCACGGGCATCGGTGCTGAGTCAAGTCGATCATCCGCTGTGCATCCTGCGACCTCTGGGCGGGGCCGTGAGGCCCCCGGCTGCGCTCTCATCCAATGCTTCACTGCGCCCAATGTACCCGGAGCCACTTCCGTGGACTGACGACCGCGACCTTGCCCGCAGGGAGCTGGGCACGCTGCTGGGTGGAGCTGCGGAGGAGAGGTGGCGGCGTCGCAGGGAAGCCGCAATGGGCCTGGACTTCCCAAGGCCCGGGCCGGCGGGGGGCACCCGTTGGACGTGGCAGAACGGGTGCAGTTGGAGGGGGGTTCCAACGACGACCTGAGGGTCGCCTGTGATAGCGCCATCCCTTCCCTTGGAAGCGCCGGGGCGTGACCGCGGGGCCTCCGTGAGCGGCAACGAGCTCCAGGCCCTGCGCCAGCTGGCGACAACCTTGCGGGAGAGGCGCGGGGCCAGCCGGGCGGCGGAGGACGAGGCGCGGCGGCGGGGGCTGCAGGGGGGCGCACGCGCCGCGCTCACGCACCAATGTCGGCGAGGGCGGCCGCCGCAGGGGCACCATCCGATCGCAGCGGCTCGAGCCAAGGCGCTTTCGGAACCAACCTTGCCCCCTCGGACTTCAGTGCGTAGCAACTGGTAATCCCTAGACGTTTCCAAACGGCGCAACGAGAAACGTGGCATTACTGGGCCGCTTCCCCGCCCCCCCTTCCCCCCCCTCCCCGGCGATGTCCGCCATCGCCCGGGAATAAAATTATCCCGGCAAAGCAACCTAACAGCGATGTGTAGAAGCATAGCTGGAAACATTGCCTGTGGTATTCAGGTAAGAGTGCTGTTGTAGAATTCTGGAGTTCTCGCAGACGCATTCGGATTCGCCGTGGCAGTCGCAATGGCAACGTCAGCGGCAGTCGCAGTGGCACTGCCAGTAGTTGCAGTAGCATTAGGTACACTAGCAGCAGCAACAGCAGTGGCAGCAGTACTAGTAACAGTAGTAGTAGCAGTAGGAGTGGTAGTGATGGTAGTAGTGGTAACAGTGAAGTAGTAGTTGTAGTGCGCGGAGTGAACGAGTAGGAGTGATGGGAGCAGTGGTAGTAGCAGTAGAAACACTGCTTTCGATAACGGTATCTCCACATGAGATCTTTGTATAAATGCATTGAGGTCTAAACAAGACACTGCTATCAACGGATGTGATTCCAAACGAGACGCTGCTATCAACGGGTTGAGCCTCAAACGACACACTTACATCAATGAGTGTAGCTCCCAAACAGGCACCCCCATGAATGGATTTAGTGTGATGTCGTAGTAGTAGTAGTAGAAGTAGTAGTAGTAGTAGCAGTAGTAGCAGTAGTAGTCGTAGTAGTAGTAGTAGTAGTAGTAGTAGTAGTAGTAGTAGTAGTAGTAGTAGTAGTAGTAGTAGTAGTAGTTGTAGTAGTAGTAGTAGTAGTAGTAGTAGTGGTAGTAGTAGTAGTAGTAGTAGTAGTAGTAGTAGTAGTAGTAGTAGTAGTAGTAGTAGTAGTAGTAGTAGTAGTAGTAGTAGTAGTAGTAGTAGTAGTAGTAGTAGTAGTAGTAGTATGGGCACGGACCCGTAAGACCTGAGTATCCACCGGAGTGCTCGGCGAAGCCATTGATGATGATGTGATGATTGAATAGGATGATGGGGTGATGACCGCGCTACTTGGATTTGTTCTGTCCGTCTTTCTCGGCCTCCAACCAAATCTTGGAAGACATCTCGCAAACGGAAGAAGAGCGCACTGAGGAGCGGCGCGTGAAGCGGACAGTCGGCAAAACTTGCAGGCTGAGAAGCACCGCAGAAACTCGGAGGCTGAAAAGCACCGCGGCCGCGCAGTCCTACTACTGCTGGAACTAGGATTACAAGTACGCGCGCCGAGAAGCACCGTGGACACGCGGGCTCGGATACTTCACCTCTCCCGCTTGTATTTCAAGAAATCGCGCCAATCCGGCGGCTGGCAAGTACCGAAAAGGCGCAGGCTGAGAAGCACCGCGCGAGTGCAGGCTGAGAAGCACTACGCGAGTGCAGGCCACGGCATTGCGTGTCACATGAATGCAGGCTGAGAAGCACCATATTTTGTTTGCCGGATATCATTCCCAGGTCACCTGATCCCGCAACAACAGCCACGGCGTAGCTGCCACAGGGGCCGCAGAGAGCAACGGCTCGGTCACCCAATTGGCCTGTCGGTGAATCACAATGCGCGTGTGGCTCCATGAGCCATTGTATCGCGCGCTGCGAGGCACCAGTGTGCTGTACGTGTTGTTGCCGTAGCAAAAGACGGCCTCTGGGGCCCAGTGCGGATTCCAGCGGACAACGTAGACCCTGTGGACGCCATTCCGGATGGCGTCGCGCGCACCCTCGATCTGTGCCACCCATCGAAGCCAGTGAAACGCTGAGCCATCGGTGATGTCGACAGCACGTGGGCTGTAGCCAAGAAGGCTACGGGGACGATGATGATGATGATGATGATGATGATGATGATGATGATGATGATGATGATGATGATGATGAGTCTTGGAAGTCTGGGAAATAAAAGGGCACGAAATGGCGTACAGTTGGCTCCGGGCATTCAAAATGTGGCCCGGGAGTGGAGTGGAGTTCTGGGACGTGGAAGAGCACGAAGTGGCCTACAATTGGCTCCGGGCATTCAAAATGTGGCCCGGGAATGGTGTTCTGGGAAATCCAAGAGCACGAAGTGGCGTACAGTTGGCTCCAGGCATTCAAAATGTGGCCTGGGAGTGGAGTTCTGGGAAGTCGAAGAGCACGAAGTGGCCTACAGTTGGCTCCGGGCATCCAAAATGTGGCCCGGGAATGGAGTTCTGGGAAGTCGAAGAGCACGAAGTGGCCTACAGTTGGCTCCGGGCATTCAAAATGTGGCCCGGGAATGGAATTCTGGGAGGTCGAAGAGCACGAAATGTGTGACTGTTTGCTTAAAGCAAGCCCGGCCCTCGCCCGTCCGGCTCCCGCCCAGACCCCCCTGGGGAGTCATCACCTGCTGTCTTTTGGCCCCATTAGAAACATGTCAGTCTTCGCTGTTAGGTAAAAACGCTCTCCAATCCATACGCCATACTCCCCGACCATCCGATGTTTTGATGATTCCAATGCGGGATCCCCAGAAATCCCGCCTCCTTTCCCAACGCCGGCGTTTCATCCTGACTCGCTCTTTGACGGCCTGGGAACCGGTAGGGGCCTCGAGAGGCCGAAGACCACGACAAAAAAGTCCTGATCTTGCCAGTGCATTGCACGCCTGGGTTGATCCATGTTTGCGCCTCCTCGAGACCAGCGCCGGCGAGCGGCCGCGAGCAGCCGGAGGCCCTCCCCGCCCTGTAGGGAGGCGGGCTCCTCTTGGCCTCCTTCCGCTGCGCCGCGGTCAGCGAGCGCGGGAGCTCCAGCTCAACCTGGGGCCAGCGATGGGGGCTGGAGGCGGCAGGTGTGCTGCAGAGGGCCTCGGCCCCCAAGGTGACCACATCGGTCCTTGATCCCAAGGGTGCGTGATAACCGAATGAATCGCTTCAAGCCAACATCGAGGCTGAATCGATGCCGGAGCTGAATCGCCCTATTCCGTGACCTGGAGGGCCTTGGTCTCCGAAGTGGCCCCATCGTGCTGTCACAGGGAACGCTGAACAAAGAGCGAATGGGGCTCCTCTGACCACGGCAGCCTCGGCCACGAATGGGTTCCCCGACCCCAATCTGAGCAACGGCTCGGAGACCAGAGCCCCTGCTGAGCCCACGGCGGTGCTTATTTCAGAGCACTGGCTGTATATGAAAGCCCTGGTCTCCAGGGCGATGCCGTCGCGTGACGCGCAATCAGAGGAGACGGTCGTCGGGCTTCGCACGTTGGAGGAGGAGGTGGACGAGCAGGAGGAGAAGGAGGAGGAGGAGGAGCGGGACACAGAGAAGGACAAGGAAGAGGGGGAGGAGGAAGAAGAGGAGGAAGGAGGGGCAGCCGAGAGGCAGAACAGCCCAGACTGCCGGCGAGGCAGAGTAGTCCCAACGGCAGGCTGCCACGGTGGATACTCTGGGCAGCGTGGTGCCGCTTGAGGGCTTTCGCCGCGCGCGCGCCCGTCGGCACGAGCCGTCTCATATGGCGAAGAAGCAGGCGCGAATCGACAGCGCTGGACCTACCCTCAAAGCCTGGCCCAGCAAGCGGGAGTGCGCAGACCTGCCCGCGCAGCAGGGGGAGGACGAGGCAGGCTGCCAAGGGGTTGGCCTTGCTTGAGACGAAGCGCTCCCAGACAAGGCCGCTGAGAGCTCATCTCCCCCCTGATCGATTGAGTGGGGACGTTAGGGAGGGGCGGGCTGCCTCATGAGGAGAAGCATCGACCTGGAATCTGAGACACATCGACGATCGATCGGCGATGCGCCCATGATGGCGAATCTGCACGCTCCTGCATGGGGTGGGCTATCAGGCCCCTGTCGAACATAAATGTGCGATTGGGGATCGATGCATCCAACCGCAGCCTATTCTCCTAACGTTGTCCCTGATCATCGAGGTTGTCCCCACCCAGGAGGAAACTGACCATACACCAGTCCCGGCGTTCACCAAGCCCATCCATGTGCCAAGATCGGCAGAGAAGACTTGCTTGGTGGCCAGGATGGTAAGTATACAATTGAGGGATGAAAAAACGCCCCTACCATGGGTTAGAAGTGCGTGGTCTATGAACATCCTGGGAGCTCCCATAAGGCCAGAGAACCGCCAGGACGCCGCGCGTACCCTGTCAGCCCACAGGAGGTTCAGCGCACAGCGCCTCGTAAACCAGGTTAGGGGCGCCCTTGATACACACAAGCCTTGGGTCCAGAATCAGACTGGCCCAAGATCGGCGGTGGTGCTCATAGTCTGCGTCCCCCGACATCCGCCTCGGGACCGATGTCCCACGATCCTGGGAGGCAGTGGATATGCATTGAATTGGGCCCCCCGGAAGGCCCGGGGCCATGCCAATCTGGCTCTTGGCATCCTGGGACATCGGTTCCCGAGGCGGTGCGTGTATGCAGGCTCGCGTCGCGAAGACCCAAGCGTTGGTTTCTGACGCCGCGTGGATCGTTCAACCCCGAATGATCGGCGGCCTTCCGATCGCCAGATCGTTCCGTATTGGCCACTTCTGGGCCACCGGCGGCATTCAACCTTGAACGCCCGCGGCGGGTTCGCTACCGCATCGTGACGACACGAGCCCCAGGGGAACGAACAACGACACAAGCATAAGAACCCTGAGGTCCGCGCGGATTCTCGAATCGACGCTGGACCAACCCCGAGACCCTATGTTTATGTCATTGCTCGTCCCTCGAAACCTGCCGTATGTTCTGGCCTGCCGGCGGCCAGCGGAGGTCGGGCCCCGCCTTGTCTGCATCGGCGACGAACTCGTTTATGATCGCCTGCGGCGCGGGACGGCCTTGACTGCGGCGGCGCCTCCCGAACCCCGCCACAGACTCGGGAACGTCCAGGAGGGTGGCGTCCAAAAGGGTAGCGTCCACGCGCCCGAGGCGCGTGCGCGGACTAGGGGGGCCTCAAGGGACGGCTTGAAATCAGAAGGGGGGGGCTGTAAAATGCCGGGAGGTAACATGGATCGGCGGTGGACACAAACCTCCCTTTAGTAAACCACCCTTTAATGAAAACGTCCTAAGACCGAAGCCGACGGACCTGGACCCGCAAATATGAAGGCCGCAAGACCTGGACGCGTCAGGGTAGGAGGTCTATCAACCTCCGAATGGACACTGGCAGGATATCCACACGCCCCTAGTCATGACCCTCCATCGGGCCGCCCCCGAGAGATCGTCGCCAAGACCGCGTTCCAGGCTGGCTCCCTGGCCGGGATCGGGGACCCCTTGTCGCCAACGCACCTCGACCGCAGTCCGCTCGCTTGCGCTGCGGCCGTCTGCTGCTCAGCGCGGAGCGGAAGGGGCCTCCAGGCGGAACCTGGTCTCGCAGCAGCGGGGGGCCTGGTGATTCCAATCCACGACCACGGGGCCTTTTCGACAGGACCAACGATCCCACCAGCCTTTTGGGCGACAAATGGTCTCAGGAGGGTTTCGACCCCTCCTCCCTTCGGGGAGGGGAACCTTCCCCTCTCTCCTCCCCGAGGTTTTTTGGAGGGGTCGCGAAGTGTCGGGGGTTCCTTTTTTTCGGCCCCTGGGAGGGCCAAATTCTGACACCCCTCACGAGGATCGTGGCCTCGGAAGGGGGGGGGGATCGAGTCCCCCCCTTTTTTTGACCGACCGACCTCTAGGGCTCCCGAGAGGCCCCCAAAAGGGTTCCAAGAACGCCCCAAGAAGCCCCACGATGGTTCCAAAAGGCACCCAAGAGGCCCCCGAGCAGCCTCAGAGAGCCAAACATGACCTCCAATATGACTCAGCTAGCCCAAGCTGGTACAATATGTATCCCAAGATGTTCCAAGCGGCCACGAAACCGCTCCAAGACGACTCGAAGTGGCCACGGAACCTCCCGAACCTCCCTCGCTGTTTGGCTATGTGTGTCTCTTCCTCTCTCCCCCCGTCAACTTTCATGGGCATCGTTTCTGCGTGGGCTGGTGGGAATATTTTTGGTACGCGGGCGCGCGAAGCAAGTCCAACGCCGAGCACGCTAGGGCGGGCCGCGCCGTAGCGAAGGAAAAAACAGCGAAGCAAACTACGCCGCCACAGAGCGGAGCAGAGCGAAACCCTGCCAAAATGGCGCGGGATCTGGTGGGGATATGTTTTGTGTCGCGGCCGCAGGCGAGCGCGCCAATAGCGTCAAGAATCGGGCGGGCTACGCGCGAACCTAATTGCCTAACGCGCCGACAGCTGGCGGCCTAAGCAGCGCTTGAGCTGACCGGACTGCGCGAGGTGGTGCGGGCTGCAGCTGCCAGGAAACACGTCCAGGAGCGAGCGCATGCATAATTAGCCAGCCGAGGTTGGAACGCAGCCGAAATGGCGCGGGAGCGATACCAGGATGAAGCCAGGAGCACCATCACGAAGAAACGCTGACACCAGCTAGGCCAAGAAAAACTCACTGACCAAGAAACTAGTGAATGGAAATGGCGCCACCAAAGTCGCACACAACGAGACTCCTGAAGGGAGTACTGATCCGGACACTTGTCGTCAAACCGTGAACATAATGAACACGAACGGCATAGCGGAGTCTCCAGGGAAACGATGGATGTGATCAACACCGTGCTGGTGGCGGTACATGTTTGTCGCAACCGCAGGCGAGAGCGCCGACGGCGAGTAAGGTCCGAGCGGGCCGCGCAAGAGACGAACTGCCTAAAGCCAACGGGCCGGCGACCTCAGCGGCACTTCGGCGAGCGGGCCGGCGAGAGGGGGCGTGCGAGCTGCAGCTGCCAAGGACCGGGTCCAGGAGCGCGCACATGCATGATTGACCAACCAGGGTTGGGGCGCAGCCAAAATGGCGCGGGGGTGGTACCAAATAAGACCAAAAGGAAGCCGACAGGACATTGTATGAGCTGCCAGGGGACCAAACTGGCCTAAAACTGGGGCATGGAATGGCGGCTGGTGGGGATACTTTTTGTAGCCTGCCGCAGGCGAGCGCACCGACGGCGTGTCAAGGTCCGAGCGGGCCGCGCGAGGACCTAAATTACCTAGCAGCTGGTGGGGAGACGCAAAGCGTCAAGAATTTGGTGCCCAACCCTGAAATATATACAGTGAGGGGAGCACCCGTCCTCGATAGAGGTGCGTTCGAATAACCAGAGCATCCCAAGAGTTCACCCTCGTGGTTGAACGGCCAAACTTTTGAACTCGGGGACTGGGGGAGAGCAGTTCCCTGCGATTCGGCGACGCCTGTCCTGCAATCCAACGAACGGACTGCCACGCCAAAAAATGTGGCACGGGTGGGGGCGCCGCGCCGCCGCGTCCCCCCTCCTGCTCCCTCCTCGCCCTGCCCCGTCCTCCTCCTCCGCTTTCCACCACCTCCTCCTCCTGCTCCTCCTTAGCGTTCCGCTCTCTCCCCCTGCATCCGCCCTCCGTCTCCTCATCCTCCACCCGCATTCCTCTTCCACCAATCATCCTCCTCCTTTTCCTACTCCTTTTCCTCCCCCTTCCTTCCTCCCTCCTCATCCTCCTCTTCTTCTTCATCCTCCTCATATTCCGCCTCCTCGCCCTCCCCCGTCCTCCTCCGCCTTCCACCACCTCATTCTTCTACTCCTCCTCAGCGTTCCGCTCTCCCCCGCTGCCTCCGCCCTTTGTCCCCTCACCCCCCCATCCGCCCTCCACTTCCATCCACCCTCCTCCTTTTCCTCCTCCTCCCTCCTCCTCCTCCTCCTCCTCCTCCTCCTCCTCTTCCTCCTCTTCTCGTGGGCCTAACAAAAAGGGGCTGCTCGCGTGCTCCAGGGGCCTGCACCTCCAGCGGCCTGCACCTGTGCGCCTCGTCTTGCCATGCCCTCTTGGCCTGCACCTCTGCGCGGCGCCCTGCGTCATCCAGGGAGGTACAGTCAACCCGTCTGGTAAGGACACACGATGAGGATGCAAGGGCCTTAGACGCACATTTCGAAGCTGTTCGAGCGGGGCGCGGCCAGCGAAAGCGGCGAAGGATGGACCGAGGAGGCAAGGATGCAAGGGTATCCTTGGGAAGGTTGTCCATCCTTACTATGCGGGTTGACTGTAGTGCATTCATCGTGCTCGTCTTCGTGATCTGGCACCGCCTGACTGCTGAGTGGTGATTCGCGAACGGCAGCGCCCTGCTGGCCTCGTCGGTGTCGCTCTCTCCTTGCCGTTGGGCCTTGTCTGACCGGCTGGTGGGTGCTCTGGATAATGGTGGTGGCGGTTGCCCTGTGGTTCTCACAGCCGCTTGCCTTGAGCACGAACTTGGTCAACTCAGTTGCGCGTCCAGCTAGGACCCCCCCCCTTGCACGTTGACTTCTGACCGTCAAGCTCCTCCTGAATGGCCTCGTTGTTGCAGAAGGAATTGTGTGCCTGCCGCCCGACTGTAGTCTGTCGGCTACCTTCGACGCGCGTTGCTCCTGGGTTCCGTGCCGCGGAGCTGCGTAATGGTTTTCTCTGCTGCCATCGCCCATCGCCCGTAGCTGGTATCTGGCCATCTGGCTCCGGGCGGATTGGAGTGAAAGGCGAGCGAGCTTGCAATCCAGGGCGGCCCCTCCACCTGGATGACTCCCACCGCCTCGTTCGCACTTTGCAAATCTTCTGCGGCGCACCTTCCTGGCCGCTCCTTGGTGCACGCGTGGCCAAGTAGATGCTCCATGGCTGCGAGCTCTTGCCCAGCCCTTCAATGACGCATTCCTCATACTGCCAGCAGTCTCTCTGCACCCGCTTGACGCCCATCTCGATCTGGGGAGCTCACCTTCGGGATGTCCATTCCACCTGGCTGGTCGTGGCACTCGTACTTTGACAGCTCCAGGCATGGCCGCAACACTGCGTTTCAGCCCCAGGACCCCGAGAGCTGATGGGGCCAGGCACCGCAGCCGCTGGGCGCGAAGCGCTTGCCGCCCGCGTGGAGGAGCCCGCCGGAGCTGACGTACCAGAATAGCCGCAATGCTGGCGTAGAGCGCCATGTCGCCGCAAATCCACCACGGCCACTTGGTACTACTGTATTGGCTGGAACTCGCGTGCGCCGGAAAGGTAGCACGGGTCTCACGGCACCTCCAATTCGAGAGCATTTGGAGTGCACCGGGCCTGGGCGAGCGCCTCCTCGCGCTGGCGCTGGCGGGCCTCCTCCGTCTCCGCCTCGCGCTGGCGCTCCACGAGCGCCGTCGCCTCCGCCTGCAGTCCCACCGTGCCTGCCGATGCGCCAGGGCGGCGGCTCCCGATGGGGGAGGCCGCTCCACGCCGCGCGCGCGGCCGCCTTGAGCCGACCGCGAGCAAGAGCCAGCATCGGTGCATATGCATAGTGCGTAATCCTCGTCGCCCGACCTCAATGGCGAGGGGGGAGATAAAACTGCATAAACATGAATGTTCTAATGTTCGCGCGGACTTCCTGGATCGGCGCTGAACCCAGGCGAGCGGAGCGCCCCAAGGGCAAGCGCAGATCCGATAAATCCGCGCTGACCTTCGAACCGATGGGTTTCTACTAATTGTTGTCTGCGAGGAAGGGGTTTACTCATGACCGCCTGCCGAGGTCCCCGAGTACTTCTCGCCCTGGCGGTGGATATGGACAAATGCCCGCCTCGTTTTTCCGTGAACAGCCTGTCTGTAAGGACTCTAGACAATGCCGCGAACGCCCAGTGAGGGAGCCCGGGCCCTAGAAATCGGCAGCCCACCGCGGCCCCACATCGTGCAACTGTGCAAAGGTGCTTAGGGTCTTCTGTCACAAGGGTTTTTCATGCAAATGCAACAACCATCGACGGTGCAGCAAAACAAACCGTGGTGGCACGCACACGTAAGCAAACACACACACACAACCACGCATATGATACAACATGGCGTCAAGCGATAGAAACAACAGAGAGGCCATGAATGTGTCAAGTGAGCGGGAACTGACCTACTCATCGAACTGAATGCGTTTGTCGATTACGACGCCCGAAATGGAAACAGAAACAAACGATTCGATGTCTTACATCTTACAACAAATGTTGTCCAGAACCGATAGCGGCCGCTGTTGGGCAGGCGGCTTTCTGTCTCAATTGGACAGCGCCCGCGGCGGCGCGGACAGCGAGTCCTATGCAAAATGACCAAGAACTGCTGTTGGGCATCGTCACCTTTTTTCAATATCCGTTTCGTTCGTGCCGATTCGAGGGGGAGGAGGGGAGGGGGAGGGGGAGGGGGAGGGGGAGGAGAAGGATGGGGAAGGGGGGGGCGGGGGGGGGGGGGAGGAGAGCCCAAAATCGAATCCACAAGTCGGATCGGCGACCGAAATGAATCGGATCGGCGGAAATCGGCAGCCACGTCGGGAGAGGTCGAATCGGCAGAAATCGGCAGGCCAGTAGGCCTCCGTTGAGGAATCGGAGTCCAGAATCCAAATCGGAATCCGAAGTCGAATCGGAATCGGAGGCCATCGACATCGAAGCGAATCTCGGAGGAATCGAAATGGGCCCCGGGGGGGCGTCCGCGCGGGGCGCCTCAAGGTTGACCTCCCCCTCGTCGGGCCCGGCGGCGGAGCCCTCGCGCCAGGGGGGCCGGGCGCGGGTCGGGGGAGCTCTCCCTGCTGGCACGGCCACGGGGTCTGGCCGGCCATTGCCAGAAGAGCTCGGTGAAGCAATTCTTGGAGGCCTGGAAGTTGGCACCAACACCAACACAGGGGGTTGCGCCTCCACAGGGGGAAGATGATCCTCGATTTCGGTGTTGGTGGCAATCTTTCGGTCACCTAGGAAGCCCGAATCTTTCCACCATCACCGAGATCGGGATCGCCATCCCGCGGTGGAAGCACACCGCCGAGATCGGTGTTGGTGTCAACCTCCAGGCCTGCGAAATCCAGCCTGTGTCAGAGGAGGGACGGCGATCTCGGCGCTGGTCTCTGACACCGCGTAGCCACTTCAGCATGGAGCGATCTCGGCACTGGCGGTGCCCGGCTTTGAACGCCCGCGCTGGGGTCGTTGGGATACCGACGCTACAGGAGCCCACAACAGACGTACGCATCCAGCCACGTACACGAATACGGTCCCCCCAGTCTGCGAGGGCACCCTCGTGTCACGAGCGTTCGCACAACGCACGCATTCGAAGCCCACAACATCTCATGTAGAAGCAGGGGTCTGTTGCTCGCGGATGAATGCTGGTACCATCTCTCGTCGCCATAGCTGGAATCGCCCCGAAATCCTCGCCAAAACGCACCCCAAGGAGAGGTCTGAGGAGCAGCGACATTGCTATTTAGTTCGTTCTCAATATCATGGACGCTCCAGCATTGCGCAGCTTGGCAAACTGGGGCGTCCATACAGCGAGCTCACGGGCCGGCAAGAGGAGAGAAACGTCAGGGGGGGACTGGCACAGAGGGGAAACGTCGGGCTGGAATCGACGATGCGTCGCCGACAGATCGACGAAAAGCCCCCGACAAGCCGACAGCGAATCCGCATGCCCCTGGGCGGGGTGGGTCATCGGGCCCCCATTGGCTATCGGCGGTCAGTGGGCGTTTGGGGGTCCATGCTAGCCCCCCACAACACAGGGGTGGACCTAAACGGTGTTTTGGCGATTTCGTGGGCCGTTTTTGTTTCGATTTCGTTTTGTGTTCAGGGCGGATTGAAGGCAAAACGAGGGAAAACGAAAAGAAAACGAAAACGAAAATAACCGTTTAGGTTCAGCCCTGCCGCACAAATCAATAGACACAAATATAACAGGATTCCCTATGTGTTCCAATCTTTTCTGGGTTTCTGTCTTCCCCCCCACTTCCCATGTCTTCCTATATTTTCTGGGGAATCGACGATTCATTGTGTCTGTGTGTGTGTGTGTTCAACCCTCCTGCACAGCCTCGCCCCTCGGGCTCTCCGGCTCTCCGGCGGCCGTGCGGGGCCTGTGGGCATCCCCCTGATAGGCTCCTGGCGGGGCGCAGCGGACGGAGACCACCCCGAGGGCTACAGGAAGCCTTCGAGAACCACAGCAAAAACCGTCGGAGGTCCTCTGCGAACCGCCCGATCTGTGGGAGGGCCGCCGTGTGCCGTCCAACATCCCCCCTGACGTGGCCCCTGAGACGGACCCCCGCCTCGCAGCGGCGAACGTCGCGGGACCCCGCCCTGGCCGATTTGATTGATGGGGGAGGCGGTGCCGTCAACCCTCCGACGCTTTTGACGCTTTTGACGCTTCCGACGCTCCTGACTTTCCTGATGCTCCAGGCTCCAGGAGCTTCGCGACGCTTCTGACGCTTCTGACGCTCCTGGCGCTCAGGGCCCCAGGAGCTCCGACGCTCCTGACGCTTCCGACACTCCTGACGCTTTTGACGCTTCTGACGCTCTGGTGCCCCACCTATCGTGGCGCCCGGTGCCCCATCTATTGTGGCACTTCAGAAGGTGGGGAGCCCCGAGGCATGGGGCACGTGACTCGAGGAGGCGCTGGGAGCCCTGAGGCACGTGCACGTGACAGATTCAGCCTGGGAGCCCTCTCCGATCCGTTCGATGATCCTCAGGACGTGGGTCAGCGCCAACGTGTGGTTCACCGAAGCCCTTCAATACATCGCATGCGGTGATGTGAGAGCCGACATAGGCTGTGTGCTATCGTGCTATCGGGGGAGCCTGCCGGGTCAAACACAGATTGGGCCAACAAATATTGGAACCAACAAGATTGGCCCCTGCGGGCTCCATTCCTCAATGTGAGCAAAGGCCGACCGTCTCAACAGTCCTTTAGGCCTACCGCTAAAAAGTGTTTCAGAACAACATAGTGCTACCGAAACAAACATCAAATTCTCTGAACATACGCCGATCGATTAAACTTACGCTACCGAGAAATTCCACATACTGATGCCATGTAATGTGTTCATCTGTCATGCCGCATGCTGCTTCCCCAATATGTCAATCATAATGTTCCCTACGCAAGATCTCAACATTCGCAACGCTGCATTGCATGAACCTCATCCCTCCTCCCCCATTTCCTTTTCCGTTATTTCTCGCTCCGCCCTGGTAATGTGAATTTCTGCATTGCGCTTCTCAGGCGACCGCACGGCGGGGCGCAGATCTTTGACATGAAATCTCCTCCCCTTGTCCTTCTTCCCCATCCACCTCCTCACTCTCCTCCCCGTGCTCCTCATCTCACCCTGGTGTCCGCGTGCAGAACGTCACATGCCTTGCGCGCCCCCATTTCATGTGGCAGAAAAAACACTTGAGCACTACCTGCGGTGTCGAGAAAATCCGATGCCTGCCACACATTGCACGCGTGATACATATACGGCCCCCACCCCCTGCGCACCCCCTGTGGCGTCGAGGAAATGCCACGCGTCTGCCACGCGTCTGCCACGCTTTGCGAGCTTGGACTGGACAGCGCCCCAACCCCGTGCGCACCCCCTCCGGTGTCGAGAAATTGCGACGCCGACCATGCTTTACTACGATGGTGGGACGGATAGCGCCCCCACCCCGTGTCGAGAAAATACCACGCCGCCCATGTATTGCGAGCCCGCAACGGATAGGGGGGCCAACTACCAGCGCACCCCCTGTGGTGACAAGAAAAAACCACGCCTGCCAGGCGCTGCTAGCCCACCATGGTGAGGGGAACCATCGAGGAAATGCCACGTCTGCTACGCTGTATAAGCCCGCGTCGGATTAGAGGACCGCCCACGGCACGCCCACTGTGGTGTAGAGGTAGTGTGCCATGCCTGCCACGCTTTGCGAGCCCGTAACGGATGGGGGGACCACCCCGAGCGCTCGCCCTGTGGTGCCGAGGAAGAACCACGCATGCCATGCTTTGCGAGTCCGCAACGGATAAACTTATCCGCTGCGCAGGAGGCGGCTCCCGTATCCGGATAAGGGAGCCGACCCCTGCGCACCCCCTGTGGTTCCGAGGAAGAGCCAAGCCTGCCATGCTTTGCGAGCCCGCAGCGGATAAGGGAGCCGCCCCCTGCGCACTCCCTCTGGCGTCGAGAAAGTGCCGCGCCTGCCACGGTTTACGAGCCAGCAGCGGATGGATGGACCACCTCCGGCGCACCCCCAGCCTGGTGTCGAGGAAATGCCACGCCTGCCATGCTTTCCGAGTCCGCAACGGATAGGGGGACCACCCCCAGCGCACGGAACGTGTGAGGGGTGCGCCGAAATGGAAGTGAAACTGCATGCGGACCCTGCCACTGGGGCCTTCGGTTGAGCACTCCATGGGGCCACGAAATGTGTGACGGGTGCGCCGGATTGGGTGTGGAACTGCATGCGGACCCTGCCACCGGGGCATTCGGTGGAGCACGCTATGGGGCCACGAATCGTGTGAGGGGTGCGCAAGGTTTGGGGCGTAACTGCATGCGGACCCTGCCACTGGGCCTACGGTGGAACACCCTATGGGGCCACGGAACGTGTGAGGGGTGCGCCGAAATGGAGGTGGAACTGCATGCACCCATATGACGACGACGAGGACATGCGGAGGGCAGAGGCAAGGGATGGGATGAGGGAGAAGGGGGAGGAGGAGAGGAACGGGAACACGGGGCGCTGTCTCTTCGAAACGAGGACCCATCATCACAGGATGGTTGCGCACATCAAACGGTAGAAACACTTCCGAAGGTCCGTTCGAACTTCTTGGATCTTGGATTCCGACCGTCGAAACTTTATGTTTATGCCGTTCTTATTCTTCGACAGCAACCGACTCCTGCTCCTCTTGGTGGCGCGCACAAAGGGGTAGGGGAAGGGTGGAAGGCGTCTCAGAGGGAGGCCGTTTCTCAGGAGGTGCGGACCCCCAAAGGTCTGGACCCCTTTCCCCAGGAACGGCTTCTCCTGCTGGGTCGTTTTCTGACGAGCCCGAGGCCTGTGAGGGCCCCAAGAGGCCGAAGACCGCGAGAAGCACCTCCCGCCGTGGTTTCTTCACATCGCGAAGAGGTTCTGGGGGTATCCCGTGCGTTGAGCAGCGACCGACCGTCCCGGCTTTCCGATAGGCCTACCACGACATGTTCTTGGAACCCATAAATGTTCTAAGAGCAAGAACAATGTAACAGTGTTCTTAGAACAAAGGACCCGACGTGTTAAAACACGACAGTCCCGACCAGAAATGGTCTAAGAACATTTCGTCGAAACCACAAATGGTTCCTAGAACAGTCTTTGATAGGCCTAGTTATAGGCGAGCCAGGACGCTTCGCCACTGCTTGAATGCGCGCCGCCGCTCCTCCCTCTCTTTCCCAGCCCGGCCTGGGGCTCCGCCGCCATCTGCGGGCCGCACCCGGCCGAGCGAGGCGCACCCCCCGCGGCCGGCCCACAGCGGGGCGGCCGGGCGGCGGCGGCCGCCGCCGGGTCCCCCCGCGGACTCGGGGCTGAGCGTGGGCCGGAGAGGCGGGGATGCCAGCGCGTTCCGGCAGAGCCTTTCCTGAACGCGCTGACCGCACCGCAGTCAAGGGTACCTTCCATCCTCCCGCCTCTTCGCTCCTGCGCGCACGTGCTGGCAAAAGAGAAGAGCCGTACCAGAGCTGTTTATGCCCAGGCCAGTCTGAAGAGCCGGCGAGACCGGCGAAAGCTCACACGTACCACTGGCAAAACAGCTACATCACATCATGCAGATCACAGGGTTGAGACTGTCAGTTGTTGTATTTCGGGGATGCCAGATCACCCACGCACTCACAGAACAGGGGACTCCCAGGCTTTGGGAGGTCTTCGACTGGACCAGAAGATTGGGGCATCCTCGATGGGGGTGCGTCCGAGCAGCCCACCTGGGGTGAATCCCAATGTTCCCCTCCTTTTCTGAGCGGCTTGAGTTTTCGTCGAAGAGTCGGGGGTTGGGGGCTCACCCACTCACGCGCACTAGAGGAACAGAAAACGGCACAAACGTAGTCTGTCGGCCTGGCGCGCGGAGCCGCCGCCAGACGGGCCCAGCGCAGATCCAAGAAATGCGCGCGGAACGCCGAAAGGATATCTGTTTGCCGCTTTTCCGTCTTCGACCACAAGCCGTACCTAGAGGCATGCGGCCTGACTAAGGTATGCGGTGCCGGCTCACCCTGGCCCTCACGCCTGACTCGCACCGAATGTTCTCTCCCATGTGCGGAGGAGGTGGGCACGACGCCAGGCAGCAAATCAAATGCACTGGGGGCCTTCCCGGAGCTCGTTCCCTTCATGCGCGTCGAACGTCCGTCGACTGAATGGAACTCGAGCGTGGGGTCGAGCTGGAGTCGGACAGATGCGTTACGTGGAAGGTCCTCAACACGAGCATCTGAAGCAAATGCTGTCCAAATCCGACAGCGGGCGCTGCTTGGCAGGCGACTTTTCTGCGCCAGGCAAGGCCCAAACCGAGCGACACCGATAGCGAGTCCCATGTCGGACGAAAGGAGAGGGGGGTATAGGAAAGGGTTGGCGAGTCACCCGACATATAGCTGGCTTCCCCGGCGCCTCCTGCCCAGCGCCGCGAAGCGAGAAGGCATGGCAGAATGGCGCCAGGCGGCGGGGCCGAAGAAGCTGGCTGCATGCAGCACGTGCCCCCGATTCGCCCGCCCGAGGAGGAGGGAGGAGGCTGCTCAAGCCCCCCACCAGTCGGCCGCCCCGAGGGAGAGGGAGGAGGAGGAGGAGGAGGACGGATGATGATGATGATGATGATGAGGAGGAGGAGGAGGAGGAGGAGGAGGAGGAGGAGGAGGATGCGGAGGAGGAGGAGGATCTTCTCTTCCTTTCCTCCCCGCTGGAATGAGCAGAACCCCCTAATTGTCCCCTCCCCATCGCCTGACCCGAGGATCGGCAGAAATTGATGCGGCCAGTTTTCGCTCACCACCACCCTCTCCGCCCCCATTCTGTTTACATCATGGCGCGAACAGATCCTGAGGGAATCGGGGGCGTCTGAGGAGGGGGCGCCCAAGAGAGGCGGTCGCAAATCATGGCCCGAGGCATGTGCGCGGACGAACGGGGGGACGGGGAATGCGTTGAAAGAAGAAGTCCAGGGAGATCCTGGACCCGGGGGCCTTCCCTGGGACCAGCTCTGCGTCCTGATCCGTTTCCTGAAGGCCCCGGGGCAAGAAAATGGCGACCAACCTGCTCGGCGTTCGGGAAAAACCCAAGTCTCTGACGGCCGCTGGGAACGATCTGGGCAGCCCCGGCACGCTCTCGGCGAAGTGCAGCTGCTGCGACGCCTCCCGAAATTGGAACACCGCAAGGGAGCCGAGGGCAGGACTCAGAGGCACTCAAAACGGACGCGCCTCCCCTCGGGACTCAGCTCTGGCCACGCCGCACCGACGGCGGCGCGAAGCGGAGAGCTGCACCCAGCAATGGAGGACACCAGGGCGCCTGGCCTCCCCCCGCCTCGGGGCAGGGCTACACTGGCCTGGGCCCGGCGCTCCTTGGCCTCACAGATCGTGGGCTGCCATGGACACCTCTGGCAGCACCTGGTTGAAAAGGGCCTTCTGAAAAAAAAGGCTCCTAGGGCTCCTAACAGGTGGGGTGCCGTCTATGAAGGCCACCTCCCTCGCACCACCTGAGGCGAAGCCAGAGCGAGGATGACATCGAGTGGATACAAATCGAGAATATCTGAGATCTGGCGGCTCTGGAGGATGTCTCGCGCGCCGCGGCCTTCTGAGAGCGTTCCCGAACACTCTGAGAGCGTTCTGGAACGCTTTGGAACGCATCTATCCTCGACCTAGCCCCGTCCGGCCTACCTCGCACTACTTAATTTATCGCACCAGCGATCACCAATGACAGCACCCAGCACAGGGACACGTCCGGTGGCTCGACTTCTCCAAGACATGGGCCCCCTGACCTCTCGACCCATCCCTTACGATGCTGGCATCGCGGTTCAACTCCGGCTTCTGGAAGCCCGAATTGACGCACAGCTGGCAGTCTCGTTGAGCATCGTTTAACCGATTCGACCCTATACCCAGCGGCGCGGCCTGAGCCCCACTGGCCGACTTACCCCGCCAGATGGGGATGAAAGCTCATTCTTTCGGATTTCGAAAAGTATATATCCGCAAGTGGGGTGCTGAGATGGCGGGAATCAAACTAGGGATTGGGATGGGGATGCCCTGGGTCAGCAATTTAAGAACTCCCCTGGGCGATCGTCAACACTAGACAACAAGTACGTCGCGGGGACGGAGTTAGCAGAGTGATACGTTTGGCACCGCACCAAACCGCGAAACAAATCCGCCGATCGGGCGTGTGAGTTGAAAGGGGGAGGGGGCGACTGGGGCGGCTCTGCCGGGGAAGGGTGAAGGGAGTGGAAGGGGTCAAGTGGCGTGGGTTCTGGTGGCGTGGGGGGGGGATGGGTCCAGTCCCCCGTCCCGCCTGCCTGTGGACCACTGAGATAACTCTTGGGGGTTGCATAGTTTAGCAAGGATATTGGAGATAGCTACACCAAATGTAAACTACGCATATCGCTCCTAAAAACTACTTGTAAAGCTCTGACAAACTACTTGTATCCACATGGGAGACATAGGCAGGATACCAAGAGAAAGCATGTTTCCCTCCAAAGATCGGATTTCTGCTTAAATGATGCCAGGAGAAAAGGCACTTATACATACTTGTGTGTGTTTGCCGCGCATATTGATGTAAACTGATATAACTGATGTATAGTTCCGCACATATGATGTTTGATGGTGTGTCACTGCGAAATTGGTGCACGCTATCCCACATCTGTTGGAAATTATTTCATTTTTCAAGTTTCATCAATTCACATGTTTAATATGATCGCGTGCCCTTTTTTCTATGTTTCAAAAAATATTGTTGGTTTCGCATTTTTTGTTTTATTCCCCACATGTTTCGTGTGGTTCTGGTTTTCTTCCCTGCCGCGCCGCACCCGCGACACTCACACACACACCTCACTCTTCCCCTCCTCTTCTTCCTCTCCTCACCCGCGCTCAACACATGCAACAACATGCGCGGCAAGTACATGAGACACGCGTCTACATACAGTCGCACGCACACACACACACACACACTCGCAAACACAAGACGCATGTTCACTGCATCACAGGCCGCGCACACATCATACACATACACATGACACACAATATATAAGACGTGCGTGTAGGATTCGCAGTGCATGGCAAGCGTGGCACTTTCTCGACACCATAGGGGCAAACACAAGACGCATGTTCACTGCATCAGGCCACGCACACATCATACACATACACATAACACACAATATATAAGACGTGCGTGTAGGATTCGCAGTGCATGGCAAGCGTGGGACTTTCTCGACACCATAGGGGGTGCGCAGGATATGGTCTCACACCGCTGTCTCTATACGCGCCAGTCGTCCAGGCGTAGCAAGCGTTGCACTTTCTCGACGCCATATGGGGGTGCGCAGGGGGTGGTCTCTCGCCGCGGTCTCTATGTACGCGCCAGTCTTCCAGGGCACACCAGGCATGGCATATTCTCGACACCATAGGGGGTGCGCAGGGGGTGGTCTCTCACCACGGTTTCTATACGCCCCGGTCGTCCAGGCACAGCAGGCGTGGCACTTTCTCGAGCGCAGGGGGTGGTCTCTCACCGCGGTTTCTATACGCCCCGGTCGTCCTGCAGGCGTGGCACTTTCTCGACACCACAGGGGGTGCGCAGGGGGTGGTCTCTCACCGCGGCCTGTATACGCCCCAGTCGTCCAGGCACAGCAGGCGTGGCACTTTCTCGACACCATAAGGGGTGCGCAAGGGCTGGTCTCTCACCGCGGTCTCTATACGCCCCAGTCGTCCAGGCACAGCAGGCGTGGCACTTTCTCGACACCATAGGGGGTGCGCAGGGGGTGGTCTCTCACCGCGGTCTCTATACGCCCCAGTCGTCCAGGCATAGCAGGCGTGGCACTTTCTCGACACCATAGGGGTGCGCAAGGGCTGGTCTGTCACCGCGGTCTCTATACGCCCCGGTCGTCCAGCAGGCGTGGCACTTTCTCGACACCATAGGGGGTGCGCAGGGGCTGGTCTTTCACCGCGGCCTCTATACGCGCCAGTCTTCCAGGGCACACCAGGCATGGCATATCCTTGACACCATAGGGGGTGCGCAGGGGGTGGTTTCTCACCGCGGCCTCTATACGCCCTGGTCGTCCAGGCACAGCAGGCGTGGCACTTTCTCGACACAACAGGGGGTGCGCAGGGGGTGGTCTCTCACCGAGGTTTTTATACGCCCCGGTCGTCCAGGCACTGCAGGCGTGGCACTTTCTCGACACCATAAGGGGTGCGCAAGGGCTGGTCTCTCACCGCGGACTCTATATGCCCCAGTCGTCCAGGCACAGCAGGCGTGGCACTTTCTCGACACCATAAGGGGTGCGCAGGGGGTGGTCTCTCACCGCGGTTTCTATACGCCCCGGTCGTCCAGGCACAGCAGGCGTGGCACCTTCTCGACACCATTGGGGGTGCGCGGGGGGTGGTCTCTCACCGCGGTTTCTATACGCCCCGGTCGTCCAGGCACTGCAAGCGTGGGACTTTCTCGACACCATAGGGGGTGCGCAGGATATGGTCTCACACCGCTGTCTCTATACGCCCCAGTCGTCCAGGCACAGCAGGCGTGGCACTTGCTCGACGCCATAGGGGGTGCGCAGGGGGTGGTTTCTCGCCGCGGTCTCTACTCGCGCCAGTCTTCCAGGGCACACCAGGCATGGCATATTCTCGACACCACTGGGGGTGCGCAGGGGGTGGTCTCTCACCGCGGTTTCTATACGCGCCAGTCGTCCAGGCACAGCAGGCGTGGCACTTTCTCGACAACAGGGGGTGCGCAGGGGGTGGTCTCTCACCGCGGTTTCTATACGCCCCAGTCGTCCAGGCACAGCAGGCGTGGCACTTTCTCGACACCGTAGGGGGTGCGCAGGGGGTGGTTTCTCACCGCGGACCCTATACGCCCCAGTCGTCCAGGCACAGCAGGCGTGGCACTTTCTCGACACCATAAGGGGTGCGCAAGGGCTGGTCTCTCACCGCGGTCTCTATACGCCCCAGTCGTCCAGGCACAGCAGGCGTGGTACTTTCTGGACACCGTAGGGGGTGCGCAGGGGGTGGTCTCTCACCGCGGTCTCTATACGCCCCAGTCGTCCAGGCACAGCAGGCGTGGCATTTTCTCGACACCGTAGGGGGTGCGCAAGGGCTGGTCTCTCACAGCGGTTTCTATACGCCCCGGTCGCCCAGGCACAGCAGGCGTGGCACTTTCTCGACACCATAGGGGGTGCGCAGGGGCTGGTTTTTCACCGCGGCCTCTATACGCGCCAGTCTTCCAGGGCACACCAGGCATGGCATATTTTTGACACCATAGGGGGTGCGCAGGGGGTGGTTACTCACCGCGGTTTCTATACGCCCGGGACTTTCTTGACACCATAAGGGGTGCGCAAGGGCTGGTCTCTCACCGCGGTCTCTATACGCCCCAGTCGTCCAGGCACAGCAGGCGTGGCACTTTCTGGACACCGTAGGGGGTGCGCAGGGGGTGGTCTCTCACCGCGGTTTCTATACGCCCCGGTCGTCCAGGCACAGAAGGCGTGGCACTTTCTCGATACAATAGGGGGTGCGCAGAGGGTGGTTTCTCACCGCGGTCTCTATACGCCCCGGTCGTCCAGGCACAGCAAGCGTGGCACTTTCTCGACACCATAGGGGGTGCAGGGCTGGTCTCTCACCGGTCTCTATCCAGTTGTCCAGGCACAGCAGGCGTGGCACTTTCGGACACCGTACGGGGTGCGCAGGGGGTTTCTCTCACCGCGGCCTCTATACGCCCCGGTCGCCCAGGCACAGCAGGCGTGGCACTTTCTCGACACCATAGGGGGTGCGCAAGGGGTGGTCTCTCACCGCGGCCTGTATACGCCCCGGTCGTCCAGGCACAGCAGGCGTGGCACTTTCTCGACACCATAGGGGGTGCGCAGGGGGTGGTCTCTCACCGCGGTCTCTATACGCCCCAGTCGTCCAGGCACAGCAGGCGTGGCACTTTCTCGACACCATAAGGGGTGCGCAAGGGGTGGTCTCTCACCGCGGTCCCTATACGCCCCAGTCGTCCAGGCACAGCAGGCGTGGCACTTTCTGGACACCGTAGGGGGTGCGCAGAGGGTGGTTTCTCACCGCGGTTTCTATACGCCCCGGTCGTCCAGACACAGCAGGCGTGGCATTTTCTCGACACCGTAGGGGGTGCGCAGGGGGTGGTCTCCCACCGCGGTTTCTATACGCCCCGGTCGTCCAGGCACTGCAGGCGTGGCACTCTCTCGACACCATAGGGGGTGCGCAGGGGGTGGTCTCTCACCGCGGCCTGTATACGACCCAGTCGTCCAGGCACAGCAGGCGTGGCACTTCCTCGACACCGTAGGGGGTTGTCCCCCAGCGCGACCGCTATGCGCCTATGTCGTCCCGGGCACAGAATGCGTGGGACTGTCTCGACATTATAAGGGGTGCGCAGGGGGTGGTCTCTCACCGCGGTCTCTATACGTCCCAGTCGTCCAGG